TTTATTGAATTATGCATCATCTTTTATTTATCTTTGCATAAAACTTGTCTCCATGTAATGAATCAAGATCTATGATTGCAAATCCCTCAAAAAGTTTTAAAAACTTGCACGTTTCCCAACATCAACTGCAACTTTTCCAATGGGCTATCTCATAACAAATGAAAATATATTTCCTTAAAAATATGAAGAGCATATGTTAAAGTAAAATTGCAAATTGGTTTATTGTAAAATTAATTTGGATCGAGTGGTATTTTCCGAACAAGAAGAGTTCCTCCCTGCTCCGCTATTGTCGGAGCCATCTCTTCACCTTTATTCCAATGCAAGTATGTCAGCTTCGCCTGAAACATATGCCTCCATATTGTATCAATCGCCTCTCCTCTGTTAGTGATCTGACCTTGTTCACAGCTCTGCATCGTATTGAATCTTACGTCAGGACAATCTCAAAATAAAGTAGGTCCGAAATCCACCACCACAACCATAAGTGTGTATGAGCAACAGAGTATCTACGAAGTTAAAAGCAAAAGGGTTAACCAGAATCAAGTAAATAGAACCGAACAAACCACTTCTTTAAAGGCGAGCCTCCACAAACTCTCCTCAATTTTTACATTTGAGGCTCATATTTACAGGGATCCAACAGGAACCAACCATCATCTTTTTCTCTTTTCTTGCTAAAGCTGTGTCATATTTATATCGAGTACCTTACTTATCAAAAAAAATAAATTATATTTTTTGATCAATTTTAAACAGCTCTAGTATCTTATGACAACCAACAGATTCAGTCTAACTAATGGCAAATAACACAAAATCAAATCCAATAAAGTAGAAAATAATAAGACCTCTCAAGTTTCATTTTTTTTTTTTTTTTTTTTTTTTTTTTTGCCTCTCTCTTTAGGTGCAACCATGAAGCTCTTATACTTCACTAACTGATAGAAAAAAATAAACCTAACCTATCTTGACCAAACAATAAAGGCAATTAAGTGTTGACCAGCCGCATAACGATTTCCATTAAATAAGTTTCATGGGATAATGACAAATCTTATTAAGAATAAGATTTCTATGGGATAAGGATTATGATATTCCCTTATAAAAAATAGGGGAAGTGACGATAAATAGGAAGACGACTCGGGAATAAGGTACAAAAAAAGTTTATTATTAAATTCTTGCCTTTCTTTTAGACCTCTGGTGACTGACTTGATCGTCGGAGAGCTCTTGGCAGGCACCACACTGGTGTCGTCAAGATTCATCGATCTTTTACTCTCTTCTTTGCAGGAAAACGGTGCCGTATCGGACAGCGTGGATTTCACCCTCAACAGTTGGCGCCGTCTGTGGGAAACGACGATTCCCTTAAATCAATTACTCGGTTGGGTATATGCACTTGTGGTCCGGTATGGTAACTAGAACAGAAACATCGTTGCAGGGATCCAGTTAAAGAGAAGGATCGGGTGAGCACCCATACGTCCCGAAATGACCAGGAACGGCTTGCAACATTAGAACTACAGGTCCAAACTCTGCGTCAGAGTATGGACCAGTTGATCCAACAAAATGCAGAGATCCTATGACATCTTATCCCAGCGGGACCACCACCTCAATAAGAATTGTCCGACCTATGTCCTCCCAATCTGAATGATGGGGGACAACACGAGGAGGACCGAGAAAACAATCCTTGTCATAAGTTCGAGGCAGAACAAAGCTAAGTCGGAAACCGACACAGAGAACCTTCTTCCCCGCCTCCACGAAATCCCCAGTCTCAAACAGGCATAACCTTCTATGTTAAGGAAAAGACAGAGAAAGTTACCTATTTCGACCTACAAATTGAGATTCTCAAGGTGAAAATAAAAGATGTAATGTTGGCTATGAAAGGGAAAGGTCCTGCCTGGTGCAAAGGACCAACCTGCCATTCAGCCCCGCCGTTATGAAATGCCCCCTGCCTAACAAGTTCAGGATGCCCTCGTTCGAAAGCTTTGATGGGACCAAATATCCCTTTAATCACCTAGAGACCTTTCAAGCTCTTATGCATTTGCACGTCGTGCCAAATGTAATCATGTGCCGAGCTTTTCCCACTACACTTAAGGGATTGGCAATAGTTTGGTTCAACAAGTTGAGGCCAGGAACCATCAACACCTTCGAAGAACTGATTAAGCAGTTTGTGAGCCATTTCATTGCAGGTCAGAGACATAGGAGGTCGGCCACCTATCTACTGACCGTGAAACAACAGAAGGGCGAGTCGATCCGGGAATACATCACCCGATTCAACACAGAGAGGTTGCAGGCAGAAGGGGTGCACGACAAGGTGGCTTTGACCGCTTTCATAGGAGGACTCCAAACCTCCAGATTCTTGTTCGCTTTATCCAAAAAACCTCCCACCAGCATGACATAGTTGTTGATCAGAGCGCAAAAACATATGAGCGCTGAAGACTCCATGATTGCACGAAAGGGAAAGGAAGGAGAGGACAAGAAGAGGTCAGACTCTTTCACCAGGGATGAAAAGGATACCAGCTATATGAGATTATTCTTCAGCCAAAGCGATAGAACATATAGTGAGGAGGACTCAAATAAGTATACCAACTAACAATTGTCTTACAGCTGCAATTAGCCTTATCAAGTCATTCAAAATAAAGAGAGAATAAGACCTTAACTTCATTTAAGGATACATCGGCGAGACATATTGTATTCTATGTTCGATTATTGCCATTTGTTTTGATATCCTTGGGTATTCGGGCGTGGGCCTGGCCAACCCGCATTTGGAAATCCAGGGGTATCACACCTGTACCTGATTTATTGCCCGAAAACTTTATCAGACCTTCATCAAAATTTGGGCTTAAATGTAACCATTAATCCAGAAGGCCACTACCTTCCCACATCCGACAGCCAAGATCGCTCCATTTGCTACTACCAATGATGGACGGCCCAGATCGCTTTGATCTTGTAACTTCTTGAGCAATCTAAGAGTCTTGTGAGATCCAACGGCTATGATCTTTTAATCATGTAATTGAACAATAAAATGATCAGTCACATTTGAGATCTTTTGTGCAAAAATTGAAACTCCTAATCTCCATCTACCAACTAGGCAACTTGTTGACTGTGTTATAAAATAGGAAATAAAAATATATAAAGAATATTTTAAAAACCTTTATAAAAACAATCATATATTTTAAAACACGTTCCAACATATATATATAGTCATCTTTATCTGCACAACAAAACATTCATTTCCTACCAAAAGTTATAGTATAGTTATATATTTTCACCTTTTAAAAGTAAAAAAGTTGAAGATTTAAGTATTTGTAGAACAAGTGAGTGTGTTTCTTGCTATTACAATATATATATATCTTTCAAAGATTTACCATCATCTTAAAGTTGATAGGTGTAGGTAACCATCTACCATGTCATGTTCTGCTTAACACTTTCTGTTAATGAGGCATACTTGATAACTCTAGTAGGACCGTCTCTAGTCCTACTTGGCACCTCCTTGATGAAGCAGTAGTCTTGGGCAACTAGGTTTGAAATAGCTAATGTTGAGCTTGCAAGGGCAACGCTTTCCTGTGGAAGTACCCCGCTCTAGTCGGATGGGTCTCTCTATCCTTTTTTGAAGAAGCTTATTACTTACTTATTAGAGAGATTTTCCACATCGAGCACCTTTGCAGAAAAAGAGCTCAAGGTATTGGCAAAGAAGGAAAGTCCGAGACTCTAGAAAAAAAGGCCCTTGATAAGTCCCTTTTTTTTTTGTTTTGTTTTGGGAATATGACAAACATTGGACAGGCGGTTGGAATTCAAGGAACCGCCTTGACTCGAGGTCTACACGAAGGGGAAGAGAATGTTCATTACCCTTGATCAAGCTAATAGAACAATCATAAACAGCACATTAAATGCCTTGATTTATTAACAAGACACATATTAAATGCAAGATACAATTACCACCTCGATTAGAGGCACGAGTTGCCTCGAGCCACCTACCGGTGTCCCATCTGTAAAGAGGTTTCGGTCCATCGGGTAAGTGAAAAACCTATCCTCGTAATCGAAGATCTTTGACCAAGTAAAAAATAGTATAAATAGAAGTAGTAATTAGCCATCAAACACACACTAAACCATTGACAAACAGATACAACTCGTGAGCTCGAGCTACCTAATGTACTGAACAACTACCTTCTCTCTCTTAATTTCTTAGAGGAGAATCCCTTGTGTAGCTCGATTTCCCTTTTGGATACTGATCTCAGCATTCTTGACACGTGTGGAACGATCTCTTCATATCATCACAAACAATCATTACAATAGGCTAACTTAAGCTATTAAGTGATACTAACGTCTAATCCATCCATATGTATTTATTCATTTTTCCATTCGAATTTGATGTGCAAGTTCTCCTTGTAACATCCTCCCTTACCCGAATTTGCAATGCTTTCGTTGGGATCGAGTCATTTTACCTACCCGGGACACATTCGTACTATCTCGACCAGCAAATACTGAGTTTGATTCTAATACCAATTATAATATACTGGATGCTTTGCAATCTAACTAAAAATCTTAAATTATTAGACGAGATTAAGACACAACTCATATAAGCCCATCCACTTCTTCAACGCATAATTTATTCTACAAAATCTCAAAAGAAATAAAATGTAATAAGGAGATTTTTATCACAAGCCTAAGGGTGACAATTCGTGTTAGCGTGTCGTGTCGTGTTCGTGTTCGTGTTCGTGACACAATTATTAATTGTGTATAAGATCCTTGACATGAATACGACACGCTATGCGTAACCTGCTTAATAAATGAGTCAAGACTTGACACAACACAAAAAGACATATTTAAGTCATTTTTGACACGAACATGATGCGTTTATCTTACACGTATTAAGTTAATTATGTCATAATTATATTTATATGGTCAAATTCAAATACAATACGTTTAGCGGATCAATATCTGTCAAAGCAATCACGACGTGAACACAAACCCAAATCTTCCTACGAGTATCTTTTGTGGTGTTAGCTTGTGTTGTCATGGAAAAATCTTTAGTGGGACCCACCCCAGTTCACAGTAATCGCGCAGCTCTTGTTGCCTCAGCGTCACCGATCACACAGGACAGGGACCAAATCAGAGCCCACAATTATCTTCTATTTTGACAACCCAACAATAAATTCAACATCCACCTTCAAGAACTTAAAATTAGGGTTTAATAGTGTCAACCTAGTGTTTTCTTCATCGAATTAGGGTTTCCTTTACAGTACAGAGATGGACAAATTAAAACTAGCTTCATCTTCTTTGGGCGAGCGATTGAAGACCGGTGGAGCTCAGATGAGCCGAATCGTCAGCACGAAGATGAAGGAAATCTTACAAGCCCCAACGGCGGAGTCCAAATTCGTGGACGAAGCGACGTCGGAGAATATGGAAGAGCCCAACTGGGGCATGAACTTGCGGATTTGCGCGATGATCAACAGCGAAGAGTTGAGCGGTTCGGAGATCGTGAAGGCAATCAAGAAGAAGATATCGGGAAGAAGTGTGGTGAGCCAGAGGCTGAGTTTTGATCTGTTGGAGGCGTGCACGTCCAACTGCGAGAAGGTGTTCTCGGAGGTGGCCTCCGAGAAGGTGTTGGAGGAGATGGTTAGGATGATCGATGATCCGCGGTCCGATCACGAGAACAGAGACAAGGCTTTGCAGTTGATTAGGGCTTGGGGCCAGTCCGAGGATCTCAAGTATTTGCCTGTCTTTCATCAAACTTATATGGTGAATCTCTCTCTATGCATATAGCTTTTGTGGTTTATTTTATAATTCCATTTGTTTCTATCATTTATGCATTTTATATAGTTTGTTCAATAAGGTGAATCGTAGATGAGCTACACGGGCTCCTGATTGATTGATTAATTTGTGTGAATGCTAGCCATAGATGAGCATGATTGTTACTAGAGGATACCTTAGAACCAACAAGGGGTTTGATTGGAGGGTAATGATTGGGTTTTTGAAGTCATACATGAGTATTGCTGTACAAAGAGGGGGTAAGGGTGAAATTGGACGTATTTTGGGTTTGTGTTAATATCTTGATACTTGGTGGTTTGAATTGGGGACATGCAAGGTAGAATTGAAACATGTAGAGTAAAACTGTTAGCAGAACCAAAAGTGCCTGCTTCAGCTCATCATAGAAAATTAATGTGTGTCTTTGTGGCTCCAAAAACTAATTGTTGATGCCTGAAGGTCAGTGCCCACCCCCCACCTTTAAGATACTGCTTTCTGGGAATTTGGGGATGGACATATAATTGAAAAATGTAAAGTAAAAGAGTAATGATATTTGGGCTGAATAGTTTGGCAGAATTCTTTGTCCGAATACACTTGATTGGTCATTAAGGTAAGAAATAAGGAAGTGGTAGGTCCCACTTTCTTATATTTGGCATGCATTGACCAATTAAAAACATTCGGTTTAGAAATTCTGCCTAACTCATCGGCCTTTAAAATCATTTTCCAAAGTAAAATGGTAGAACCAAAAGTTGGTTGCCTCGGTATTGTTCAACCATGTATTTGTGAAATTTAACGGTAGGGAATCCTACAGAGCGAAATAAGGAAAATCCAAGTACAATCCTCAAAGGGGTTTGATTTGAGGGTAATGATTAGGTTTTCGAAGCGATACTTGTCTATTCATTATTGCTGTAGAACGAGGAGCTAAGGGTGAAGTTAGGCATATTTTTGGGTTTGTGTTAGTATATTGATACTTGGTGGTTTGAATTTGGGGAATGAGGATAAAATTATAACATGCAAGATAGATGTTAGAACCAAAAGTGGCTGCTTCAACTCCTTGATAGAAAATTCATGTGTAGTTCCTTAAACTATTGTTGACACCTGAAGGTCCATGTCCACCTTTTAGATACTGCTTTCTGGGAATGGGGAATGGACATATAATTGAAACATGTAAAACAAAATGGTCGAACCAAAAGTTGGTTGCCTCGGTATTGTTTGACCATGTATTTGTGAAATTTAATTGCAGGGTACCTTACAGAGTGGAATATCCAAGGCGGAGTATATAATTCAATGCACATGACTTTTGACCTTTTATTAATATTCCACAGGCATGGCTACTATCTTCTTAACATTAGTAGATCTCAACAGATTAGGGGGAGATTCCAACAAATTAAGAGGACATGACTCGGCTTGGGACAGCCTTAGTCGTTTGCTATGCTTAAAATTTTTAATTGTTCTTTTGTTTTTATTTTTTATTTTTTAATCCTGTTTAATGTTTCAAGGTTTAATCTAAACAGTGACAACATCTCTGAAACTATTACCTAGAAGTGTGTGGCATCTTTCTTGTGTCATGTAGATTTCAACTTTGATCTTGCATATACTAGGTACTGGTGAGGGACATTTTCAGCACTCCTTCGCCGTAGAAATTTAATATAGTAACATGGCTTAGAGCTGAGGTTCTAATATTGTGTATGATGTACAATGCGGTTGTCTGTAGTAATTTGTCTCAAAATGGTTTGTAATACATTTTTTGTTTTTTGGATAAGAATGGTTTGTACGACTTCAATTTTTCTGAATGTATGGTTTTGTATATATTTGCATTATTTCCCGTTAGAGAAGAAACTTCTTCGTAGAAATGATTCAATGACGCACACAATAAAAATATTGTGTTTCTATTCCCTTTTCAATCTCCTTGTTTATATCTCAGTTAATTCTAGTTTTCACCCTTTTGTCGGTTGTTGCTTCCAGTTTGCCACGTATAGCATTGTTACAGGCACCAAAAGATGGTTTTGAGGTACTGATGCTCCATTTGTTTAAATTTGCAGAGTGTGCAGACTAGAGGGACACCTCCACCACCGCAAGGTGGGAATTCGCCTCCCATGCAATATTCCTTGGAGTCATATATTCGTCAACAGCCTATGTCACCGCCTAGAAGTTACCCTGTCCCTGACTTGGGCCTGGACAGTCCAGATAATAATAGTTCTTTACACAACTATGGTGACCAATCTGTTGAAGAAAAGAGAGAATTTCTTCTGATCACTCGAAACAGCCTTGACTTGTTCTCCAGCATGTTGAATTCAGAACCAAAACACATCAAGGTACGCGCACTTCTTTCATCAACAATAAATTATTTCTTTTCTTTCTTTCTTTCTTTTTTTATTTATTTTTTTATTTTTAGGTCAAACCTCTAATTGTGTGTGCATATCATTGATTTGTTCCTCTTTTTCACAGCATTAGGTTATTATGTATTGTTATGAAATTTTCTACATGGGTTTGAATAAACCAATCTCATCTATATTTCAAGTATTTAGTAGTACCATATTGAATAGGATAAAATGTGTTGAGACCATGACTGGAATTTTAAGATTTTCTATATCAAAGTAATAGAATATGCATAATCAAGCTGGCACTGGTAAGGTTTTGGACTTACTCGGGGGCCTCCTTGGTCTGGGACTTTCTGCCAATTAAGCAAGTTATGAACGGAGAAGCAACTGTAACAGACAACTTCTTGTGTGGTTGCAGGATGATTTGATGGTGAGCATGCTGGAGAAGTGTAAGCAGTCGCTGCCTTCTGTTCAGAGAATTGCTGAAAGCACTATTGATGATGAGGTTATGCTCTTTGAGGCTCTGAATCTTCACGATGAGCTTCAACAAGTCATTTTCAGATACGAGGAAATGGAAGCTGCATTAGTGCCCAAAAGTGCACCGCCTGAAAACCCTGATACCACTGAAGGCAATTCACTTTTGCCAGTTGCAACCCGGAGTGAAATGAAGAGGGGAAATTCCCAAGAGGAGGAGAGCACAGAATCCAGCAGTGAAACCAAAAAGGAAAATTCTCCAAATGAACAGAGAGTTGAATCAGTCATTGACAAGAGAAGTATTGACTGAATGAGTGGGGGGTAAGTAGTGGTTGTATGTAATTTATATCTACGTATTGTTCTGTGTAGTTTTTGTTGCCCTGGGCATACTTCATTAACCATTAGCCCATTACATCCAGGATATTATAGTTTGCTTCTCTTTGAATGAGGTGGTTATTTATGTTTCTTTGACGATCTTTATGTTTTTGTTTTTATTTTTTTGGTCTCCCTCTATCCCCCCGAAAAAATAATAATAATAAATCTTTTGATCTATTTTGCATTCTCGAGCTGGTCGCTCACTGTGCTAGAAGAAAAGAGCAATTGAGTTATTTAACATTATTAAATTTCATACTTGTTACAGAAGTAGTTAGTCCTCTAGAAGGGATTATTGATAGAATGACAGCCATTCCCTCATTTACATCTATTTTTTGGGGTTTTTCTCCGTAAATAATTGTCTTAAGAGGGAAAGGCTTTCCAGCAGTTGATCAACCAACCAACTCTCATATGCTTTCTTACGTTTTTTCTTCCAACTCTTATTTTTTTCTCTCATTTTTCACTTCTTTCGTTTTTATTGTCAAATTAAACACGGTTTAAGCTCTCATTATTTTTCCTTTGGTGAGTGTTGATGAAATAAACACACGTATGGAACAACTTTGAATACTGTGGAACCAAACCCAATTAAACTAGGATTTCAATAGGTGCTTTACCTTACTTTTATTGGTTAATTAACTTAATTTCCACTCATTTATTACTTTTAATAATGCATATAACGTATAAACATACTTACCGTAAATTATACTGTACATACATAAACATATATTTCGCTTTTGTTAGTTAAATAATTTTCATTTATGGTGACACAGCGGTTTGAACCTGTATAAAAAACTACTCTATGAATCACCAAAAAGCCATGTGTGTACAATTAGGAGGAACAAGTAACATTGTAGTACTCATTTAATTTAAACACTCACTATTTGTCTTATAAATTAACGAATAGGAGATTATGTTTCACGAGTTGCTGGCATTATCGATGATCCAGATAATGATTTCTCCTGAAACAACAATCTGATCAGATGCAAACAAACAAAGCTGCATATATGTTTGTCTTCTTTACTGAAAGATGAAGCCACCTGCCCTAAACTGGCCCCATTAGGTGTAAAATAATATGGTTCCATAGCCATGCAAAGTGCTAGATGGCTCAATACTCAATACTCATCACCAACAAGATGATGATCCTATATATACCTTCACTTCCCACACACCACTTCACATCAAAACACAATTGAGCAATACTTAAATCTTCCTTCTACGTGTTGCCATGGCTAATAGGCCTATCTTGCTCGCTCTTTCTCTCTGCTTTGTTCTGTCCTTCCATAGCTGCATTGCCAGGCAACAAGATAGCTTTAGGCAACAAGAAGCCGACCAATATCGACAACAAAATGAGTGCGATATCCGGAGCCTCAATGCTCAAGAACCCTCAGACCGTTTCCAATCCGAAGCCGGTCTAACCGAGTTCTGGGACTCAGACAATGAGCAGTTCCAGTGCGCCGGTGTGGCTGTTTTTCGTCGCATCATCCAACCCCAAGGCCTTCTCTTGCCTTCCTACTCCAATGCACCAAAACTCTCATATATTATCCAAGGTCAGTAAACAATATTATATATTCATATACGTTGTTGTGTTAATGAGCTGATTTTGTATAATTATATGTGATAGATGATTGATATAAACATGCACTTATATATATTGACAGGTAGGGGTATTCAGGGGACCTTGATTCCTGGCTGTGCCGAAACCTTCCAGTCATCTCAACAATCCCAGGAAGAACGAGGACATGGAGAACAAAGCCCGACGAGATCCCTAGACCAGCATCAGAAGATCCGACACTTCCGAGAGGGCGACGTTTTCGCTATCCCGGCTGGAGTCGCTCACTGGGTCTACAATGACGGCGAGAGAGATCTTGTTGTTGTTACTCTTCTTGACACTATCAACAATGCCAACCAACTTGACCAAGATCCCAGGGTAACAAACCCACCATCACAAACTTTAAGCTAGCTATATATCCATAATTTATATTTTTATTACTGCAATTTATGTTCATTGGAGTTATTTGAATTATTAATTGCAAAACAAGTGAATAATAATTGTGTGATATTGTAGAATTTCTTCCTTGCTGGAAACCCACAAGGCGAAGAGCAGCAAGGGCAATGGCAGGCCAGTAGGCGAGGAGGCCATGAACGGCAGAGCGGCAACATTTTCAGAGGCTTTGACCTTCGGGTTCTGGCGGAGGCATTTGGAGTGGACCACGAGACTGCGAAGAAGCTTCAGAGTGAAAATGATCAGAGAGGAAGTATTATCAGAGTGGAACGTGGCCTTCAAGTGGTAAGACCACCACAAGATCAGCGTGAGGAGGAGCAAAGAGAACGTGGAAACGGCTTGGAAGAAACCATTTGCTCCGCCAGGCTGAGAGAGAACATCAATGATCCCTCACGCGCTGACATCTACAACCCACGGGCTGGACGTCTCACCACCGTCAACAGCCTCAATCTTCCTATCCTCCGCCACCTTCGACTCAGTGCAGAAAGGGGTGTCCTCCACAGGGTGAGTCGATTAAATTGAGGTTACGCGCGCCGCCGTGGAGTTGCTAGTATCAAATCAAAAACAATTTACATCATTAATATGAAATTACTAAAATGACTTTGAAATTATGGTTACAGAATGGTATCTTCGCACCACACTGGACCATGAATGCGCACAGTATTGTGTACGTGACAAGAGGTGAGGCAAGGTGCCAGATCGTCAACAACCGAGGACAGACCGTGTTTGACGACAACCTCCGTGAGGGGCGGCTAGTGGTGGTGCCGCAGAACTTTGCAGTGGTGAAGCAGGCCGGAGAAGGTGGATTTGAATGGGTGGCATTCAAGACCAACGACAATGCCATGATAAATACTCTGGCAGGACGGACTTCGGTGTTACGTGCCTTGCCGGTGGATGTGATTGCCAGTGCATACCAGATTTCACGAGAAGAAGCACGGAGGCTCAAGTTTGAAAGGGATGAAACTACTTTGTTTGGTGGTTCTAGGTCCGAGAGGAGGGCTTCTGTTTAAAAATGTAGCACGTAGTAATGCGGAATATAGCTACCTACTAGTTTGTTTGTTCGTTTTTGCTGCTAGTGGCACATAATAAGAGAAAGCATTCATGATGTGTTTGGTTCATCATGTTCCAGGTCTCCTGTTTTATGTTTCGCCTCTCTCTTTCTCTCTCTCTGTGCATACACCACCAAATTACAAGTAATATTTTATCTCCGAATCGAATAATGCAGTAGTGGGACTTACCCCGTCATTGATTCCTCAAAGAGGTCAATTCTCACGACTGTGTAAATATTTTTCAATCACCCCCGGATTAGAGGTCGTGTACTCTTAGTTGTTTTGTTTTGATCTGAGAGTCGATTCCTAGTTGAGTTTGGTAAAAATGATTACTCAGAGCATCCAATTACAAGAAGTAATGGATTATGTAAAAATCGAATAATGCAATAATCTTCATTCATTCCTCAAAGAGGTCATCCCTCATCCTCTCAAATGATCGATGCTCCAAGTAATCATTTCTTTCTGATCAGGGTTTACACTCAAGAGTAACAGTCCTCTGTTTTCAAATTCTGAGAGTTGTTTCAGTTTGTCGTGGTTTGGGCTGAATATGGCTTTGTTTTTCTTGTTTCTGTTTGGGCCTTGCCTTGCTTGTTTTTTGGTCTTGTAGGTTTAGGTCCAGTGAACAAAATTACCCAAAGAATGATGATGGGGCATCAAAAGGTATTCCTTACGCAGAGAGAGTCAAACTCATCAAATCAATCCTCTGTAGTATGATGAGCTATTGGTGCAATTTGTTCATTCTGCCCAACAAGCTACTGAGAAACTTCTTATGCTGTGAAACTTGTTGTAAACATACAGGTGCAAAGGTAGCATGGAGGCTTGATATGCAGGACTAAACCATATGGAGGGCTTGGGTTTCCAAACCTTGAGATTATGAAAAAGGTAAGCGTCTATGGAGCATTTTATCAAACAGAATGAGTAATCTATGGGTAAGAGTGCAGCTCATACGAAACTTAATTTTTTGGAAAATCAATATTCTACAGATGAGCTCATGGAACTGGAGAAAGCTTATCCGGCTTATACGAACTGATTAAAAAGATGGTAGGGAATAGGGAGAGAACATACCTCTGCGAGACAATTGGCTACAGAATGAACCACTTGCTGACAGGCCTATACTCCAACTTTCATCCAAAGCACCCAAATTTCTACAGAAGCCACACTATTCAACTTCAGTGTCAAGAATCAATGAAACTTTCTCCCAATGTTAATTACCAAATTTTATACCATATCAATACATAACTTTACCTTAAAAAAAAAAAAAAAATGTATTCCCCTTTAATTCAATATACATACGGTTTTCTTGGCGTGGGTTTGTGTTTGTTTACCTGATATTAATTTGGAGGAAATGAGAAGGAAATAATGGAGAGGAGACTGAACGGGTGAGCTTATAAAAATTATTAAGATTAAGTCACTTACATATAATGTAAGGTTTTTTTTTTTTTTTTTTTTTTTTTTTTTTTTCTCCTAATTTAATTAGTTTAAATGGTCATTTATTAGTATTATAATTGAGTCATTTTAAGTCGTCTTACTTTGCTTTAATGGGTCAGATCAGAGTAGAGGTGAGTAATTTATCATATTTTTATTTACTTCTTTTCATATTAGTTTTGGTTTTTCTCCATTTCTGTTTTCGTTTATGCAAACTACTCTTTTCCCCCAAGTCTCGTTATCCGTCATCATACACTCATGTCCATTTATTATCTTATTTTGTCACTAATAGGCCTATTACTGAAATCTCTCACATTTTAATTAATGATTTTTAATTTTCTTTTATTTATTTATTTTTTCAAATCTAATTCATTGGATGCATAGGCAACTTTGGACTGGAGCCAAACCCAATTAAACTAGGATACCACATTTTTATTGGATAATTTTTACTTCTTACCATTAATAATGTGTATACCGACAAATATAATGGATACGGATCCTTTCTTGGCAGAAAAATAATGTAATGTATATAAGAGTATTGCTATTTAGTCAGATAAATAAAAATTTATTACGTTACTGAGTCTATGTTGTTACCTATGTGTCAAATATAATGGGACACATTTCAAAATATAAGATAATTAACTATTTGAAAAATTGTAATCAATTTTTAAAGTTTCATCTTAATATAATATCTTTGTTGACTATTAAAGTTTTGTATATCAAATTATATATGTGTTTTATATATATCAAATTGCATTTCGATCTCTAACGTATATACGGAAGATTGCATCTTCTATATATAATTAGATAGGCATTTGTTCATTGATATAATGATCAAAACTAATAATCTATGTGATTCCAGAAACAAAAAAAAAGAGAGAAATTTAAAGAAAAAATGCAAAGCATTCAAAAATATTGTAATTTTTGTTCTAGATTTTGTACCAATCAAATTATTCTATTTGAGCACCATGAAAAATACTTTGAAAAGAAAAAAGAAGATATACGATTATGAAAAACTGAAAAGATAAGGAAAGAAGTTATGAAAAATTGAATAGATAAAGAAAGGAAAATTAACGTATTTTATGAAAACAAAGAAGAGTAGTAACGATGCCTGTGCTTAACATATGTTTATTGTGCTTATTAACTAAAATATGGTGATACAGCATGTGGTTTGAACCTGTAAAAAAACAAACCAGTCTGCTCATAGAGAGGAATCACGTACAAAAAATAGCCATGCCTGTGCAATCAGGAGAAACAATAGGATGCATGACACATTTCATCAATCTTGTAAATACTCTTGATTAATGATAACATTTATGTATAATACGCATCAAACTCTCAGGAATTTATGAAAAATGCTAAATATCACAAAAATATTAGAGAGTAAGCAAAGGGGAGAAAATACAAAGTAATAATACTCCCTAGAAAATATTGCTTGTTGAAGAGAAAACAAAACAATTACTTACTTATTTGAAACCATGGGCAGAAATTATGAAACCCAATAAGGTTATAATTTATTCAAGAACTTTAGTTCCATGAAATTTGATGAAAGTCGAAACAAAATAATGGACCTTCAACAGAAAATTTCAGACTTTGCAAGAAAACATTGCAAAATCAATTATTGTTGAAAGAAATTGAAAAAAATCCTCTGCATCATTCTTGATTTTCTTTATGGTTAAATATTACTTGTTGCACGAGGACAAAAATTTAAGGTCTCAATTGGTTGAAACACTGGGATTCGAACTAGAGTCGGACAAAGAGGAATCAAAATAATCTCCAGGAAAACAATGGTGTAGTTCCATTAGTGAAACACCCTATAAAAAAGTGGTGATTTTCAGCTCATAACATTTTTTTTTAATTGCATCACTAACTTGATGGAATTGAAATTGAAGAGGATTATGAGAAGAGGGAACGGACACGTTTAAAGATGGGTGAGAAACCGAATCTTATCTGAAGTGGATAGTGTTAGTAGAGCTTAAAACGTCGTCATTTTTGTTTTATTTTGAGCTGTCCATCACATCTCAAAAATTATTAGAGATGTCTCCAGTAGAAACAATGTATTACTACCTTATTTAATGAATAGGAAATTATCATTCACCACGAGTTAGTACATGGAGTTACTCTCAGTATTTTCTCGTGAAGAACGAGGACATGGAGGACAAAGCCCATATGCAAACAGATGAAGCCACCTGCCCAAACTGGCCTTATTAGGTGTAAAAGAATATGGTTCTATAGCCATGCAAAGTGCAAGATGTCTCGATACTCATCACCAACCAGGTTATATGTGTCAAGTCTCAAGCCCCCCACATTTCCTATATATACATTCACTTCCCACTCGCCACAAAACACAATTAAGCAATACTTAAATCCTTCCTCCCAAGTGTTGCCATGGCTAATAGGTCTATCTTGCTCTGTCTTTCTCTCTGCTTTGTTCTGTCCTTCCATAGCTGCATTGCTAGGCAACAAGGTAGCCCTAGGCAACAAGAAGCCGGCCAATTTCAACAACAAAATGAGTGCGATATCCGGAGCCTCAATGCTCAAGAACCCTCAGACCGTTTCCAATCCGAAGCCGGTCTAACCGAGTACTGGGACTCAGACAATGAGCAGTTCCAGTGCGCCGGTGTGGCCGTTTTTCGTCGCATCATCCAACCCCGAGGCCTTCTCTTGCCTTCCTACTCCAATGCACCAAAACTCTCATATATTATCCAAGGTCAGTAAACAATATTCTATATTCATGTACGTTGTTGTGTTATTGAGCTGATTTTGTATTATTATATGTGATGGATGATTGATATAAACATGTACTTATATATATTGACAGGTAGGGGTATTCAGGGGACCTTGATTCCTGGCTGTGCCGAAACGTTCCAGTCATCTCAACAATCCCAGGAAGAACGAGGACATGGAGAACAAAGCCCGACGAGATCCCTAGACCAGCATCAGAAGATCCGACAATTCCGAGAGGGCGACGTTTTCGCTATCCCGGCTGGAGTCGCTCACTGGGTCTACAATGACGGCGAGAGAGATCTTGTTGTTGTTACTCTGCTCGACACTAACAACAATGCCAACCAACTTGACCAAGATCCCAGGGTAACAAACACATGCACCACAACAAACTTAATTCAATGCTTGCTAGCTATATATCCGTAATTTATATTTTTGTTACCACAATTTATTTTAATAAGTAGTATTAATTACTATAGTTTTTAATTGCAAAAGAAGTGAATAAAGTAAATATAATTGTCTGATATTGTAGAGTTTCTTCCTTGCTGGAAACCCACAAGGACAAGAGCAGCAAGGGCAAGGGCAAGGGCAAGGGCAAGCCCGCAGGCGAGGAGGCCATGAACGGCAGAGCGGCAACATTTTCCGAGGTTTTGACCTTCGGGTTCTGGCAGAGGCATTTGGCGTGGACCAAGAGACGGCGAGGAAGCTTCAGTGCGAAGATGATCGGAGAGGCAGCATTATCAGAGTGGAACGTGGGCTTCAGGTTGTAAGACCACCACAAGATCAGCGTGAGGAGGAGCAAAGAGAACGCGGAAACGGCTTGGAAGAGACCGTTTGCTCCGCCAGGCTGAGAGAGAACATCAACGATCCCTCACGCGCTGACATCTACAACCCACAAGCTGGACGCCTCAGCACCGTCAACAGCCTCAATCTTCCTATTCTCCGCCACCTTCGACTCAGTGCCGAAAGAGGTGTCCTCCACAGGGTGAGCCATTTAATTAAGGAGGCGCGTCATTTACACGCGCCGCCGTGGAGTTGCTAGTATCAGAACAAAAACAATTTACATAAAGTAATATGAAATTACTAAAATAACCTTTAAATTGCGGTTGCAGAATGGTATCTTCGCACCACACTGGAACATGAATGCGCACAGTATTGTATACGTCACAAGGGGTGAAGCACGGTGCCAGATTGTCAACAACCGGGGACAGACAGTGTTTGACGACAATCTCCGTGAGGGGCAGGTGGTGGTGGTGCCGCAGAACTTTGCAGTGGTGAAGCAGGCCGGAGAACGTGGATTTGAATGGGTGGCATTCAAGACCAATGACAATGCCATGATAAATACTCTGGCAGGACGGACTTCGGCGTTGCGTGCCTTGCCCGTGGATGTTATTGCCAATGCTTACCAGATTTCTCGGGAAGAAGCACGGAGGCTCAAGTTTGAAAGGGATGAAACTACTTTGTTCGGTGGTTCTAGGTCCGAGAGGAGGGCTTCTGTTTAAAAATGTAAATGTGGCTACCTACTAGTTTGTTGTTTGTTTGTTTTTGCTGCTACGTACGCAGAGAATAAGACACAGGCATTCATATGCCTTCGTTAATGCTACTTTGTAACTATGTAAGAGGTGTTCTTAATTTTGAATAGATAATATAATGCTTTATCTAAAATTCTCATCGTATATTATTAAATTAACCCTTAGTCGGTTTTAAATTAAATTTCTATTCGAGTGTCCCAACTTCTTAGACATGTATTAGTCTACTCTTTTCCTTCAATATTGCCCTTATCTCAAGGTTCTATAGTGTATACTAACGGAACAAAATTTAAAATTCACATTAATTTTGAGAAGTTTTCTACTTCATTTGGAATTTATTTTGGGTGCACAATTAACTGAAGGAAAATAAAAAAAAAAAATAGAGAAAAGAAGAGTGCACATACATCATATATGTATGAGTGCAAGAAATAAAAAATTAGAGAAAGAGAGAATAAAAAATTACGCACACACATATATATATTGTGGAAATCAAAAAATGTGAAGAAGAAAAGTAATAAACAAATAAATAAAGGGGGAATGAATTAAAAAAAAAAAAAATTTATGGTAAGGGAGGAAAAAGTTTCAAGAGACCACCTTGGAAATTTGAAGGGGCAGCTGCCCTTTGAGCAAATCCTGGCTTTCAAGCATAATTTAGGGAATTTAAGAGTTGTTTGCATTAGTTTTTTAAAAATAAACTATTTTTTCTAGATAAACATAAAAATGACATAATTATCTTTTAAAACTTAAAATTTATAGAAGTAGTATTTTAAAGGATTGTTAAGTACTCAATAAAAAAGATTTTTATGGGTAAATTATACCGAAGTTTTGGATAAATTTACACACAAGGAAATTGTTCAAAGCATTTCCCTAAACTTGTGGAAAAGTGAATTTAAATATAAAAAATTAATAATACTCTTATATTATAGTAACATGTTATATTACATTTTATAATATAAAGAGAAAGACCAAAATTATTATTTTATAAAATTTGGTCTAATGTAAAAAAGATAACAATAGGTTGGAGAATGTCAAAATAATACTTTCTCGTTTAAAAAACTATGTCCCAAAACAGTCATTTATTTTTGAGGCAGGGGTAGCTGTTTAAAACCTCACTAAAGTTCAACGTAATTTACTAAAGTAAAGTTGTACCAATATGTCATTTACTGTTGCATATTAGCCTCAGTCATCCAATGAAGTACTCCTGTTATAAAATTCAATTTAAAATTATTATTTCAGATGGTGAAGCAGAACAACTGCTGTCTTCATTTTAAAAAGTTTCCCGAGTCACGAGGCGGTTTATCTTAAAAAGTTAAAGCCCACCCAAAACGTTTGAGAAGAAGAGACCACTCATCAGATCCAAATCCCAGACAGACAGAGTGCAGAGTGACAATGAAAGGTTAGGAATTAGGCCGAGTTACAAGAACATGGAGAGTTCTACTCTACTGCTGAGTCGACTCGTTCTTCTTCTCTTCCTTGTTTGCTTGGGCGGAGCAGGAGCAGCAGCAGGTCAGATGCGTAGACCCGGTTTTCTCTACACGAGTAACAGAGGACTGTGCACACCCCAGTAAGATTTCTCTCTCTCTCTCTCTCTCATCTCTCTAAAGCTGCTTTAAATCTTATATCAATGTATGGTTTCTTCAGACATGTGAAGATAAGGGAGAGATATTGTTTGTTTGAATTCAAATCGGAACCAAATCCTCTCGATTTTTACCCAAAGTGTCTGAGTCACCGAGCTTCAATAAAATCATTCGAGTTTTTAGCAAAATCATTTCAATTTAAATTTTTTAAAAAGAAATAGAATAAAACGTTTTAGTATTAATGTTTTTGACATTTAGTGCATAAAATCGTTGGAGATTTAGCAAACAGTCTTAATTTCAATCTGATTTTATTTATTTTTCTATTTTAAAAGAATGAGTAAAAATAAATAAATAGGAAGACGGAAAGCGGTAAACAGTGATTGTTTGTGTTGACTGTTGAGTCATAAAGTCGTGGGCTGAGTGGATTGAGTTGCGGTTGGGGGCAGGTTTTGGAGCAGCAGAAGAGAAGCATGGCCAAGGATGGTTCCACAGACATCAACGGTTTCGAAAGTGTTCGGATCTCGAGCGTACGAACGGTACAGGTACGACCTGACGCTGCTGGAAGCGGCATCAAGGAACGACGACGGCGACAATGCCTTTGCGAATCTGGTGAAGCAGTCTACTGCGGCGTTGCTCAACTCCTACGCCAGAAAGGGATTTCCATACACTGCTTGGGAAGTCAAGACTCTGCTCATCCAAGCTCTAGTCTCTAAAGACGCCGCAACTGTTCAAGCCCAACGCTTCTCCGAGGCCAATGAGGCTTGTAATTAAAGCTTAGTATTTAGTATTTGTTTTTTCCTGTGATGGTATGGTGTACGCTTAGCGTGTTTATGTGGATGACAGGATGTGGTAGGTTTCACATCTTGCATGTGTCTCAACTTCTTGTAACTTTTAAACAAACAAGCAAAAATTTTTTTTGTTTTTGTTTTTTTGGATAACCTAGAACGCCCCAAGCCAAGACTCCTTGGACCTTACCTTAAGGCACCAAACTGGAAATACTGCAGCCCAGCCCCATAGTCACAATACCGGATGAGTCGAAGTTTTAGCAGGGAGTAATGAAGGCTCGAACCTGGGCGAGTGAGTACCCAAACCAACACCTTACCATCACTGCTAGGCCCGGAGCAAAACTATTTCTCTTTGTTACCATGGAATTGAAGGATAAAACCTTGAGGTATTTGCTTGATTGGCATTTCTAGACCAATAACTAAGGAGGGATGACTGATGAGGCATCCAGACAGGCTACTTTTTTAGTTTTCCTCCAATATATCACTTGTCACTTTTAAAAGTGCTCACGAAAATTTTAGTAGGAAAAACTAGGTACCCTTCGACAAATTATTGGGCTTTTGCTGTATGCTCCGGTTGCTAAGGCTATGTTTGGTTAAGTGAAAAAGAAAAAAAAGATAAAATTAGTTAGGAGGGAAAAGAAAGAAAAGAGAATAATAATTTTAAGAAAAGATAAGAAAGGTTAATAAGGAAAATAAATTAAAAAAAATTATTTTTATATATTTACTATTATACTTTTTTATATTTTAAAAAGACAAATTTATAGATTTGTGTGATATACAAATAAATGCATGTGTTATAACTGCTAACAAACAATCATCATTCATATTTTTAAGTACACATAAATTCAAACCCCAAAGAAAACCATTCAGCGAATTTGCTGCAATTGCTGTTTGATATATCAAAAAATCTACCTTAAAACTCCAACCAACTACAACTGATAAATCAACGACGTCTTGATTGGTTTGTGACCAAAAAAAAATTATATATCCACTGTAAAACCACCAATAAGATCAATAGTACCCTAGACAAACCACCATTAGCACTATATTTAAAGCTCTTACAGTTCCAACATCCAAACGGATAAGATCTTTATACTTCCTCCTCTTGGGCGAGACCACAACATGAACCCACTTCCTCCCTCTCTCTCTCTCTCTCTCTCTCTCTCTCTCTCTTATTTCTCCTTAGCTAGCAGTGAATTTTGACGCCATTGTCTTCCACCATCAGTGAAATTTGGCGCATTTGTGCCCCTTCGGCAAACTGATTACATGCCCTAGAATCAAGTGTGAATTTGATTTTGTGTTTAGGATAAATTTGGCATGAGAAAGATTACATCAAACCTATCCTCCTATTTTCTTCCAGTTTTTGAAAGATAAGAAAGTTATTATTTAAGCCTTGTGATATCTTTCCAAAACCATTCATTTCCTTTCCATTCCTTCTAATTATTTATGCTAAACATAATTTTTTAATCACCCTACATTACCTTTCCTTCCTCCCTTTTCCATTGCACCAAACTGAGCCTAAGGGTTTTGTGGCTTGCTAGCATCTTTTTTTACTTTTTAAAGTGGATGGTGAGTGTTCGAAAAATTTATATTAACATGTTTTTATATGTTTCTGCCTGCATTGTAACGTTTGGTACTGTATTGATGATCTGTAAATTTTTTTTTTTGAAAACTCTTAAATGATATTTTAAAACTAATCATTATATTTTTCAAATTTGCAACACTTTTTTACTAAACATGCCTTCTTGTTTTTTTTTCCAAAATTTTTGCAATAAATGGACAAACATGTTTTTAATTACTATTCAAAATACTCTATAACAAAAGTACTTATTTTATTTTAAATTAAAATAAAATGCATACCAAACATGCTCTTAATCATTAAATTTACTCAAATTGTTGTTGATACAAGACACACATGTTGTAAAAAGGCTGAGTATCGTTTTGGGTCGGGTCTAGGATTCAGTTGTGGCTGAAATGGGCCATCAACAATGACAAAAATGTGAACTAAAGGTCTAAATGGCCCAAATTTGTCTAGAACTCATGATCATCCTTTGGTTCGCCAGGAGAAAAGACAGCTTAAGCATTGTGAACTGAGATGTCACGATGACCTGATAATTCATAACTCACTAAAAAACCGTCCAAATCTATCCAATTGTCATCCCGGATAGTGCCTTGTCCAATGCGTGGAGTAAAAAGGCCTAAAGGGTGAGTGCCATTTTGGGTCTGGTCTATAATTCATTGGTGGCTGAAACCGGCCCATCCAACAAAGACAAGAATGTGAACTAACGGGTCTAAATGGCCCAAAATTGTCAAGAACTCATCAACATCCTTTGGTTGGCCATGAGAAAAAAGAAAAAAAAAGAAAAAAGAAAAAGAAAAAGAAAGCTTGTGAATTGAGATGTCAGGATATGATAAAATGGCATGTTATGTCATTCTACTTATTAATTTTTTGTTTAGCATAAGAGGATAGAAAAATTGTTTCTTTTGCCAATCAATTTTTTATATTAATTGTTGTGATAATCTTTGATAGAAACACTTAAAAAGAAAGAAAACAAGTGTATTTTTATCTATTGTAATTGAACTCTATTTATTAGAGTGGCCAGGAACCAAAAAAAAAAAAAAAGAAAAAAAAAAAAGATTGAATATGGTGGCATTATTAGTTTGAAAAATAAGTGACAAGCTTACTAAGAAGGTCGATATATCATATCCATAAAGCAAAAACTTATTTTAGATCCCTCTGGTTGTGCCCAAGTATCTATAGTAGGTGTTGGAAATGGGTGAGGCCTAACCCGTGAGAGATAAATGAAAAATATATTTTTAATACTTTTGTCAAACAAACGAAAAATAAAAATAAAAATATATTTTCTCTGAAAAAGTTTTATATTAAAACCTTCAAAACAAATGAAGCAAAGTCCAAAAATAAGGATCTAAACAAATGTTTTAGTGACCCAGCAACCCGAAATGCGCAATATTATTTGTAGTCATTTACCTAACTCCTAATATTATATAATAATTTATATTAATTTAAATTAAGAAACAATATAACAAAGAATATAAGCTTTTGAGTTCTTTCCAAATTATAAAATGAAGGAACATTGTTGAATTTTACAAATTTTAGTAGTTTTATTTCAAGTCAGTTGTATATATATATATATATATAAGTTGCAGTATTTAGTTCATATATTTACCATTTTTTTTTTTTTTTGTAACATTATATTTATTACCATATTATTATTATTTTTAAATAATCAGAGTACCTCGAGAAATCCTTGAAATTAATACAATTTGAGACTTTTGAGTGGGTTGAGAATTGAGATGCATTGGATTCATGTAACTTGGGTCTGACCCCTTGTCCTCCTTTGTTATTTTAGGGCTTGGGTTTGTTTGGGCTTGGGCCGTGTTTGGTTGTGAGTTGCGACGATCGTTCTATGTATATATACATATAACCTTTTTTTCTAAACCAAAAATAGTGTGCGACACAAACAAGCCCTAAATTTCGGATAGGTTTGCGAGTCTCAAACCTACTGCTTCTTTACCTTGAGGAACAAGAAGAAGACATACGATACAGACATAGAAGAGAGTTTTTATTTTGTGTTGAGGAGAGAGAAGAGAGAGATTTTGTTCCTCTAATGGCTAGTCGAAAACTGGTTCGAGATTTATTTCTCTCCAAACAGTTCCTTCATCGTCACCTGCTAACATCTCGACAGGTTTTCCTAAAACCTTAAATCTCTATTATCCACAATGTTTTCCATACATATGCACATGTATATGCATATTACTGAATTTATTTAATGGGTTTATAATTCTTTCTCCTAGGTTTCAACTTCAGTAATGTATTGGGTAATCTGTGTTATTAGTACTACTGTTTTTATTTTATGGGTTTGTGATTATTTTTCAAAGGTTTCAGTTTCAACTAATATATTGGGCAATATTTGTTATACTTGGGAAATAGACACACACGTGTATTCGTGTAATTATTTTATGGGTTTGTGATTTTTTAACCTAGGTTTTAAAGTCCGCTAGATATTGGGAAATCTTTTGTTATATGCACACATATGTATTTGTATAGTCCTGTATTTATTCTATGGATTTGTGATTATTTCTTGTAGTTATCAAATTCAACTACAAGATTACGACTGCTATCAGCAAGTGGGCATCAGGGTAATCGTCAATTCAGTATCTTTAATGAGTTCTCGAAGCAAGTTAAAGAAGCTACCAGGTACCTATTTTTTTTCTGGGAACCAATTTCCATTATAGTTCTCTCTAACTTTAACTTTGTTAATATGTAACAAACTTTCTGCTTTATTGATTTAAGTGGTTGCTTGTGAAGCTTGAGTTTGGTTGGGTGCTATGTATTTCTTTTGGGCAGTCTTTCTCTAGTGATATGTGTCTTATTCGTTATGTTAATATTGTTGGAATTATAAATTTTTGAGATGGGAAGGCTTTGTTGAGTTCTGATTCTTCCCTTTCTTGCGCTTTCTTGGACTGATTTCTTCAATTTTGCTAGTTCTCATTGTTTCCAACTCTATTTCTTTTTTCTTTTTGATTTTTCAACTAGCATGTTTGGATGGGTCCTTGAATTTGAACAGCATGGTTGCATCTTTGGGACTTTTGCTGTAAAAATCCATCACATGGAAAGGAACATTAACAAAATAGGATATTTCACCCTATCTCCTGACATGTCACATGTGATCCTCTTAAGATTTCTTCAGAACAGTCAAAATTTTAATTTGATAGCTGTCATTTTTCCCATTGGCATCATTCAAGATGGTTGTTTTTTACCCTGAAATGCTATCTAACTTTAGATTTGGACGGGGTTACTCAATTTCCATGAACTTCCAACCATGCTCTAATTGTTTGGATGCTATCTCTACTCATTAACCAAGTTCATTTGGTCCCAGAAATCAGGAATTCCAACAGTCAGTCAAGGAACTGAAGGAGAAAACAGAAGAGCTGAAAGGGGTGAAAGAAGATTTGAAAGTTAGGTAAATTTTGTGTGATAAATTGGCTTTTTTTATTCTGTAATTCCTATTTTATTTGCTTATTGGCTGAGACATACTGCTGTATGTCAAGGCTGGGCAGAAACTTCCAATGGGGACTCAGATGGTGAACTGGCGAATGCAGAACGAAGCAGACAACTGAGCAGCTGTACAAGCATGTGGATGGCGTTTGGACGGAGGCTGAAGCCACGGCAAAGAAGGTCTGATTGGAACCTGTCCTTATATATGCCTAACATCTGCAGTACTCCATATCACCATCCAGCTTGAACTCAAACGATTTTTTCTGGACAAATTATAATTTCATACATGTTTTCATCTTCAATCCTACACCATCTAGTTCCTTGAGAATTTACATGGCACAAACTTGTTTAATCAGTAAGCATTTATAACGAAGGGTCTTAATGCTTCATTTGCAAGCTTGTAATGTTTTTATGTGGTGTGCATTCATAGAGCCCTCGATGCTTTGTTTTAGAAATTTGTAATGTGCGTACATGGATGCATTCATGCGTCCGTAAAAATATTTATTTAAACTGTGCATGTCATATATTGCCAAAAATGGAATTTTTTCTTAAGAAGAAAAATGGGGCTTATGAACTGTCATTTTATCTTTATCTTTATTATTAAGGTGTTCATTATCACCTCATATACGATTTTGACATATTTAAGCCATTTCCCTTTTGCATCCGTTTTGCTAATATTTGAACTTTTCTTCTGTTTTCTTAATTTCAATTAATTTTGTTTATATTAGTTTCAGCTAATTACAACTTAAACTTCCAATTTTGTTTTGTTCTGTTTTGGTTACTGCTTACACATTTTTCATCTTTAACTCTTAATAGCTGATAAACTTGTGCATTTCTTCAATTTCTAAGATGCTGGTTGTTGGTTATCTCAATAGTCAGCAACTTGGGGCTTGAGTTGGCAAGAAGTGGGGTTGGGTCATGTCAAATTGCTGTGGGTCCAAAACAAGTGAACACTCGGATCTATTTTTCAAATATTAAAATGCATTAGAAGATTCAAATATTATAATTAAACTGTTGATCATCTCGGTTTAGTTGTTGGACTTAGACTCTTGTCCTATTTAGCGGATTAGCAGGTTAGTCCCAGGTTCTGCCAGATGTAATTCAGACAGTGGTTGTGAGTGCATGTGGGTATCCATTAGAAGATTCAAATATTATAATTATAAACTGTTGATCATCTCGGTCTAGTAGTTGGACTTAGACTCTTGTCCTATTTAGCGGATTAGCAGGTTAGTTCCAGGTTTTGCCAGATGTAATTCAGACAATGGTTGTGACTTATATGAAAAAAAAAGGGTAATTCAGACAGTGGTTGTGAATGCATGTGGGTATCCAGAATTTGGTGGATCGTAATATTCAAATAAGATTTTCTGAAAATACATCATCGAAGTTTGCCATTGTTGCTTACTAGAAATGTTTATTTATTATTATTTTGTTTTGATAGTGATGCCCTTTGGAAGTTGTGATTGCTTAAAAGCAGTTAGTTTTAGTCTATGAAGATGATAAACGTTTTTGTGCTTGTATTGTTTTTACTTTTTAATTTTTTATTTTAATTTTTTTTTTATGCAGTTCTTAACTTCTGTAATTTTTTTTTTTTGTTTTTCCAGTTAGAATGCGGACATTTTAGTAACTTCTAATCTTACCATAGCTCTGGTTCTTCCGTGCAGCAGTTATAATGGCAACTTTTTTTAAAGGCCTTTTACTAATAACAAAACAAACCAGTATTTGCTATTCCGATTACATTATATTTATCATATTTGCTGGTTATTTGTTGTTTGCAGGTTTCTGCTAATGTGAAGGAGAAAATTTCAGCTGCCACAGATGAGGTAAGCACTTTTTTTATGTGTAGTAGTAGTACTAGCTTATCAGTGATATACTACCTCAACTTGAACTGGTAAGATCATTAAAATGATTCTGTAGTCTATATTTTGTTTGGTGGTTTAGGTCAAAGAGACTTTCAGGATTGGAAAACAAGAGTCTTCAAACTCTACTGGTTCTTCAGCTAAATTTGGTGCTGATGTGAAAGATGAAAGTAAGGCTTCAACTGGAGAAGACAAACAGCAGCAATCTGAGCCTAGTGACACTGCAGAGACATTGTTCGGCAAGTTTAAGTCTGGCATGTCTCATGCTTCCCCCAAGGTTTCTTTTGCATTCCAGAAATTGAAAGAAGCAAAGCCCATTGACCTTGTTAAGAAAGGGTATGACATTGTAAAGGATGAGTTGAGTGGTAAATCAAGTAGAAGAAAGCACATTGATTATGCAGCTTCTCCCTCAACTACTTCATCAAAAGGAGAAAGAAGCACAAGAACTGAGGTGGTGTTTGTACCTACAAAGCAGTCCAAGTGGAGCAAGAAGTGGGAGGCGCTAAGAGAGAAGGTAAATGAAATATTCTTGCGAATTCTCCTGAAAATAACATTTTATTTATTTGTTTATTTTTGTTTAAGTTTTTTTCCTGCCAATTGAAATGGTTTCCTTACCTTTAGATGCAAGGCCATCCTATGTTCAAGCGGATCGGCGTGATAAGTAAACCTGTGGTGGAGAAAAGTCAGGAGGTACATCGCAATCCAGAATCCTAATAAAGTTCCTTTTCCTTCTGCAATTATATTTCATAATTGTTTTATATTTTTGTCTTTCCTTGTCATTTATATCTGGATACTCTGTTATGGACAAGGCTCTTGGCATTAAATGCCATATGCAAGAAATCCTATATGGAACTTAGTGGATGAAGATGGTGAGATATTGATATGTTTAGATTTTGTTGAATGCAACGAAATGTGGTTGGGATGTGAGGAATTTAATGCATGGAAGAATTTAATTAAAGGACTTTATCTGTTTATGTTATCATTAGTTTGTATGGTAAGTCAGGTTGAATGTTTCTCTAAATAACAAGTGATTGAAATATATTCAGTTAAAACACATTGAGGGATTCAATTTGAGGACTTTGTTTATTAGATTCATAAATTGTCTATTAAATCCCCTTATATTAGATTACAATAGCAAAATGTGTGTTTGGTACTTTGTTGGAAATAACGTGTATATAATGACTTGCCTGAACCTATGCTCGCTACCACTTGAGTTCTTCTATTTATTCCTTTTTTTTTTCTCTCTCAATGGAGAACTGCAGTTAGGAATGCATTTTTAATGCGTGTTGTTATGCTTCGAGGCTGAGTCAAGTTCAAGAGTTATTATGTCCTATCTGAGTTGATTCCTACTAGGGAGGTTTTGGGGCAGTAAACCTTTCTTCTAACTGTAGTTAAGGATTGACTTCTGTTCACTTCATATATGGGTCTTTGGGATCTCACAATTGAAAGTGAGTTGGGATTGTGATTCAATAATCAGGCAATTTGAGGAAATGTTGGCAGGTTGGAGTAGCCTTTAAACCAAAGGGACAGGAGTTGAAGGAAATTTTATGGATGGTGGTGAATTCAAACATCATTTGGTGGATTGAGTTCTGTGTTGAAAGAAGGGTGGCTAAGTGATGAGGGAACTTCGGCTGTTAGTGGTTACCAAGGTTCTCAGGATCAGGGTTCTGCTTTTGATTGATTGGACAGACTAGTTTTTAGGATAGGATCAAGGATCGTAAGATACTTACCAAAATAAGGAAGAAATGACTAAATATATATGTATAGAAGAATTGTTGAAATGACATAGAATCAGCCTAAATCACTAGCAAACATAAACAAAGTTATTATAAATTTATCAAACACTTGCGTATGCAGATATTCACCCAAGTATATTTGATAATGTAACTCAAAAGGGAACACCATAAAATCTACAAATTTTAAGGTTGTGATAAGGAGATCGTGGTTAAAATCCTTACATTTGCATTTTTCCTTTTTAAAAATATAAATTTCGTGATGCCTAAATTACTTTTTAATGGAACAAATGAAGAAATTCTTTCGTACAATCTTCTAAGCACCAATGACATATGACATAATTACCAACAGTATTAAGAAACGGTATAAGACCAACCCACTTTACACTATCTTCCGAGCACCATGACAAGTTATACATCTGAAATCCTCAAGAATTCTGTGCAATTCTACTAGAGTACTGTGGCGATTCCACAATCGTAAGTGATCATATGACAATCGCACTATGATCCTAAACCCTCTTTTTTCTTTTTTCTTTTTTCTTTTTTCTTATATGACCATTATAGGATCGTACAATTCTATGATCCAGATTGCGATTTTGATAAGCATGATTGTTACTGTGATATGCTTTAATTGGATGCAGTTCATTAGAAGGATGGCGGTCAGGGAATCTTTGAGTATAGTCGTGCTAGAATTTCAAATAAGTAACAAGTTTGTATGATGCAAGTTCAAAGGGATTTGGAGTTTTTTTTTTTTTTTTTTTTTTTTGGGGTGGGGGGTTTGTTGTTTTGGTTGTGGTGGGGGGGGGTTGTTGGATTTCAGAGGGAGATGGTCTCCCAGTGGGGATGGCTGGATGGGAGAGTTGTGCCTTTGGCCTATTGTTTGTTTTGATGACGTTGCTTAGAAGTTCCTTTGAGCTTTTTTTTTTTTTGGGGGGGGGGGGGAGGGGGAAGCTCCTTTGAGCCTTTTGATATTACAGCAAGGGGGATTTGCTGGGGAGTATGCGAGATTTACCGATAGAAGATTTGTTTTGAATCCCTTGTCTTTTAGAAGGGTCTAAGATTAAGAGTTTGGTTGGAGAGGAGCTTCTCAGTTACCTTAAAAGGAATTTGGAGGGCCATAAAAAGCGGCATTCATTGTGTAGATACTTCTTTGGAAGATTTTGATGACTAATATTTGGGTGTGAGCTTCGAATGGAAAAATCCTTCTGAATTGGTTTTGCATGATGAGGTGCTCTGAGGGGATGGTAAACCATATTTTGGTCCATTGATTAGAGGCTAGAGATTTGTGGTATTTAGTTTTAACCCTTTGAAGTTTACTGGGTTACACCCAGTTTAGTGAGTAGAGTTTAAATGTTCTGGGAAGGGGATTGCTCAGAGGTGGGAAGGTGTTTTGCTTTGGAGCATTTCGGAAGAGGTGGAATGGGTGCATAGTGAGTGGATGGAAATCGGGATTAAGTTGAAGCATGTAGTTCTTTATTTACTCTCTCTCTCTCTCTCTCTATATATATATATATATAGATATGCAATCTCTTCTAAATTCTAATTCTTTTGTAGATTCTCTAGGTAGCTTGAGTAGTGAATAGGGATGAGACCTTTTCTTTCTTTTGCTATTCTGTTTTTGCAGTCTCTTTTATACCCCTCATACGGTTGATACAGCTTCCCTTGGCTTTTTATTTGGTTATTCTTTTATTTATCTGAGAAAAAGGGAAAACTGCAGGTTTAGTAGCAGCATGTGCTTAGCCTGTTTGTTGTTATTTTTTTCCCACATATCTATATATCATCTCTTGCTGATTGTAGTATGAACGCATTGTTATTTTACAATAAATAACCTATTAAAGCCAAATATGATTGGCAAATTATGGAAAATATTGTTTTATTTACTCCCTCTATCCCAAAATTCTTGGGGTGTTTGGAGAATCCAACTTGTTATGGTTGTGGGTTTTTAGTAAATTTTTTTATTGTATTGATAAGAGTGAATTTCAAAATTATTCCTTGTTAAAAGACAAGGAGTACTGTGTAATTAGTCCACTTGTTTAATCAAGTTAATGTCAAAAGGATAGTTTGGGAATGTTATAAAAAATAGTACATCCATTTTTGGAATGGGACATGTATATTGGGACATCTCAAATAGAAAGATGGACAAGAATTTTGAGATGGAGGGAGTATTTATTTATATATATTTTCTTCTAGAAGTATATTCATTTGCTCCAAGTTTTATCAACTATCCATTACTGTTTCCATTTTCATGGGCTATCTTCCAGTTGGAGGCTGTTGGAATTTGTGATGATGCATTTTGATTGGCTTTCTTAGACAATTCATGTTCTTTCTATATGTTGTTTTATTTGAATAGTTTTGTCTTCTAAACTTTGTTATGCATATCTTGTATTCTATATTGTATCTTCTGTCCTAGTAACATATAGTTGTGTTATTTCAAATTCAGTTTTCCTTGGTTTTTGTGATTGGCAGTATGATTATCATCTTGTACTGTTGTTCATATTTATATTTTTCCTCTCAAAATCTGTTGTAATTGTTGTCTGGGTGGGAATTTGCAGCTTGCAGAAGACATGCGGGAAAGATGGGAGACAAGTGATCATCCAGTTGTTCATAAAATTCAGGAGTATGCTGCTCAAGTTGATTTCACCTCCTATTTTGCACATAATTATATCATTAGCTGAAAACTGTAAGTAATAGTTTGATGATGCTCTTTTTTGCAGCATCAATGAAAGTGTCTTTGGAGAAACATCTGCTGCACTATCATTCAAGGAAATACGACGCCGTGATCCGTAAGATGATGTGCCCTTTGGATTTTGTTTTACAATATTTTTTTATCATCTATTTTTAGCAATCTGTTACATATTTAACGTAATAATTTTTACTGTTCAGATCTTTCTCTTTGCCAGAATTCATAGTTGAGGTTCAGGACGTGGTCAGACCAGTTCTTAATGCTTACTTCAAGGTAATTTTTGAATTTATAGCAGAAGGAAAGATTTTCTTAGGGGCATCTTCTTTCATCTTTACATTTTCGTCTCGTGTCATAATTGACTGGATTCCCGTGTTCATTATTAGAGTCTTTTACCTATCTGACAAGTAATAACATATCAAAGCTATTTTAGTGCAATGGTAAATGTTTTGGCTGGCATCTAAAAGGGAGGGGATGTGGTTAGGGGGTTCAACTCATTGGATGACAGATGTTTATGTTCACTGACTACAGGGAGATACTGAAGTTTTGAAGAAATACTGTAGTAAAGAAATGATTGAGCGGTGTAAAGCGGAGCACGGGGCTTATGAAAGCCAGGGTATCTTCTTTGATAACAAGGTAAGAGAACAGGTCACTAGTGTATTTCTTGCTGTTGCTTCTCCAGAAGTTCAGTTATTCTTGCTATTTCTTTTGAAAGATGGCTTAAAATATCAAGCTCATTCCAAGGTCTTTTGTTCTTCAACAATACAAATTACTATCTTTAAGTATCTTCGTTGATAACGAGGTGAGGCAGAACAAACTACTAATGTATTTCTTGCTGTCGCTTCTCCAAAAGTTTAGTTATTCTTGCCATTTCTTTTGAAAGATGGCTTGAACTAACTGGGTCACTTTTCTGAGTTGCGTGGTGCGGAAGTTGTTAGTAAATTTAGTGAAAGACAATGATCCTAAGACCTAGAGGGGAGTGAATAGGTCTTCTTGCTTAATTTTTATGATTGATTAATTACCCACATAAATTAACAATTAAATCTAAACCAATCACGAAATGAACAATAAAGTAAAGCAAGTAAAGGAAAGAACGCACCAGACTTTTTAAACGGGGAAAAACCTAGCGAAAAAAAAAAAACCACGGAGACTAGCTGTGTCTAGCAAATCAATCCATTGTGGTAAGAAAGAGTACAATGATTCCCAATACCTTCGGAACTGGTCTTCTCTACAAGAGTCTATGATTCCAGTGCCTTCAAAATCATCTGCCATTGATTTACCTCCGACTCTCAGTGTCCTCCAATCTCAGTTCCTTCAGAACCACCAGCATTGCTGATCCACTCCAATGCAATCAGCTCACGATAGTCCGTTTTTTCAAGTGATTGATCTCGTCTTCCTTTCACTCACGAAAATTATGCTTCTTCGATCGAATTGAGTAAACTGACGTTGTCTATGAAAATCTTTTCGATTAGATGAAAAGCACCATCCTAAAACACTATCGTGCATGTGTGCTATCAAAAATATGTCTCTCTTAAAATCTCTCTCTAAGCTCCAACAATGGTGTGTAAAAATATTTTGTATCCTTCAAAAACTCTACGTTAGGCAAAAGAGACGTTTAAATACTCAAGAAATTTCAAATATAAGTTGAAAAAGTGTTGTCTACATTCCATTGGACGGCTCAACAATTTTAGTTGGGAAAGGAATAAAAAACTCTATCCAAAAAATAAAGTCCGGTATGCATCAGGACAAGTGCAACCGGTCGGCGAATTCCCAACCGGTTAGACTCTGCAGGTATGCAATTCCACAACTCTTGAGAGCAATTCAATCGATTGGTGGAAAGGCCAACCAGTTGGACTTTGAGAGATGTTACTTCTAAAGGGTAAACAAATAAAAAAAAAAATTCATTGGACTGTCTTTTGGATTTTAATGATAGCTTAAAGCTATACTGTCGTCCTGGGCGGCTGTTGTTTGCTTTGGGAGCGCTCCCCTTTTGAGCGTCTTTTATGAAATTTTGTCAAAAAAAAAAAAAAAAAAAAAAAAAAAAAAGATTTCTCAAAGTCCAATCCGTTGGACTTTTAAAAATGAAAATAAATTATTAAATCCAATGTTTAAAAATATTTTTAAAGGTAAAAATAAATTTAAAAAGCTTTTCAAAATATTTTTATCCCGAAGTCCTATTCCAGCCCAACTAAAGTGCACAATATCCTCACTCACATACCTGTTCTAATTGATGTCTACATCTGATCCAATGGTATAGAGGCACTTGCTTTTCTTCCATGTTCGAGACCTAGAATAGAAAAAATTACAACCCAATCTTCAGGTTTTGACACCGAAATTTTCTAATATTAAAACTAAATATCTCACAATCTCCCCCCTAGGCAATTTCGTGACGAACAGCCTAGACAATTTGTAACTGGAACTGAACTGAACCTTGAAAACTCAAAATACCCGTTGAGGGGGGGGGGGGCGGGGGGGGGGGGGGGGGGGGTGGGGGTGGGATCATACATACAAGAATGCAGGTCTCCGAAGCCGTGACCTGTTGGTTGGACTTCTAAAAATAAAAATAAATTATTAAAACCAACTTTTAATAAATATTTTTAAAGATAAAAACAAATATAAAAAGCTTTTTAAAATATTTTTTTTCGAAGCCCTAGTTCTACCCAACTAAAGTGCACGATGTCCTCATTCACATACCTGTTTTAATTGATGTCTACATTTGATCCAACATATAGAGACACTTGCTGTTCAGGAGTAGATATAGGGTGCACTGGGGATACCATGTCATTGGTATGCCCAACCAATCAAAATGCACTACTTAAATTAGTTGAGAGCAGCGCACCATATCTACTCGCTGTTCAGCTCCCTCAATTGAGACTCGAAATAGAAATTAAAATACAACTCGATCAAGGGCTTGACACCAAAATTTGACATCATTAAAACTAAATATCTTACAACTTTTACCAACGTTTTTTGTTCTATAATAATAAAAATTAATACCTGTTCAAGTATTTGAAGTAAAATTCAACAAAAATGCTCCTAGAGAGGATGTAGCACAGGAACACAATGGAGGCCTGTCATCTAAAAGGGCCAATGGGAACTGGGGTTCTAATCTTTATTTGTACGTGCTTCGGTTGTTTCATGAAGGGAAAACTTGGAATAGCATTTTGTTATAAAGCCTTTCCTTTCATTGAACTTGGGGAGAAATCAGGCAGCAGATTAATGTTGGATTGATATCAGATTGCATACCCGAGTTGTAATCTAGATATCTGAAGTCGAATTTTTTTTCACATCTTCTTCTTAATGCAGATTTTACACATATCTGAGGCAGAAGTAAGGGAGACCAAAATGATGGGAGACACTCCTATCATCATTGTGGTGGTAGGCACTTAATTATTAACATCTCTCTCTCTCTCTCTCAACGACTCTCTCTATCTCTCTTAATCGTGGAACCAAAAGCTGATACTGATGGTCGTTTTTCCTTGGAATTGTCACAGTTCCAAACACAGCAGGTGTACTGTGTACGTGATAGACAAGGTTCAGTAACAGACGGGAGCAAGGTACATGCTGTACCTTTTACTTTCAATAGTTTATTTATACAACAGTCCAAATTGCATGCCCACACATGCAACTAGCGCTGTAGGTGGTTTAGCTAGAAATTTACTATGTTGTTTTATCATCCATGTCAATTGTAGAGCCATGCAACTTGATTGTTGGATCTCACATTAATAGAACTGCTTGATATAGTCAAAACTAGCTCAGTCTGCTTTATATGATAGGTTTTCTATGGGAAAATTTCAACTTCCTTTTGCTGGAATAACATTAGCTCTTCATTGATTCAGTAATGTATTTTTCCGCATTATAAAAATTAATCAACCCTCGGGGGTATATATGTTGCTTTTATCAGGATACAATCCACACTGTATACTATGCGTGGGCTATGCAGCAAATCAGTGCTGAAGAACTTGGAGAAGGTGCTGTATATCCAGTTTGGAAGCTTAGAGAAATGCAACAACTTGGCATTCAGGCCCTTATCTAAATTTAAATTTTGCATTTTCTTTTCATGCCGATGGATGGTTGTTTGGGGTCTGCCTTCTCTGGGTTTTGTTTTCTCATTGCCAGGGAAAAAATTTAGTGACCATTTTTGTTATTCATTTTGATCCAGTAAGGAATGGGTTATAATTTATATTTATTTATACATATAGATATTTATTTCTCTTGGACTTTTATACTTTTGTTGCCACTTATAAATTATAAATGTTCGGGTAGACAACATTGCATTGTTTTCATAAGCATCTGCTAATCGGAACCTTTACAGGAGTATTCATAATTACATGCCAAGTTATATTATGTGATGATATTTTAAAAGTATTATTTTGTAAAGATTGATACCTGGAAACACACTTCACTGGCCCATTTTGAAGAAAGTATTTGTCTAATTGAATTTTGCAGTTTCTTGTTCTCCCTTATGTGTTATATTTTTGGGGCATTATTCCTCTGGTGTGGGAATTATTGGGCACCGAGGATCGAGAAGAATCTTGAGATTTGTGAATGTACAAATAGAAACTACCATTGTTTAAAAAAAAAAAAAAAAAATGGAAACTACCAGATTCTTGAAAGGAATAAAGTTATGGTACTAATGGAATCCAAGTGATCTCTGGATTGGTAACAAGATTCTTTCAATTGGCTACGAAATTAGATGTTGTGGAATCATGATGAATATTTGATTGATACATTCCATGCCTTGTTGAAAAAACCTTTCCTTGTTTACCACCAACATTTTCTAACCAAATCCAATTCTCTTGATGCCATTTATTTCTTGAGAATAAATGGAATGGGAGACCTGGTCAATAGCAGTTGATTGAATGGTTGAGCCAATTACTTTAATTGGTTTTTCTTGAATTTGTGTCATCTTGTCCTGGATGGATCGACTTTAATAAGATTATGATACAAAATTACTGAACCATGGGAAATTGGAAGAGTCCCATTTAATCATTTGATAGACAAAGCAGCCTATAAATGTGGCTTGTATTATGCATTAAAATCATTGGATTTTGCTAACAATTTTAACCCCAAGTAAAAACTCAGACTGGCAACTGGAGATTTTTGGCTATCTGGCTGCTATTGATTTGGCCATTGTTAATTGAAGAGACTGACTTATATGACCCAATGGGATCTAACCTAGCTATTATGTCTGTATAAACGGAAAGGTGAAACTCAGAAAAAATCCTGGTTAAAGCTAGTTGGTTCCTGAATGCCATGTAAGCTCAGCAGAATTGACTCCGTAGAGAAGGCAAGTATTTGTGCTTGATGATATTCATCCGAAATTATTTCACCAATTAATCATTGACTGCTTTATCAACTGTCGATACATCATCATGGAGTCTCTGGTTAGTCTTGTGGTTTTACTCAAAGAAGACATATATATATCATATATGACATACAAAGCAACCATCAAAAAGAGGGGAGGATTTGTGCTTGATGATATTCATCCGAAATTATTTATTTTTTTAACAATATGCATTTGTGCTTGATGATATTCATCCGAAATTATTTCACCAATTAATCATTGACTGCTTTATCAACTGTCGATACATCATCATGGAGTCTCTGGTTAGTCTTGTGGTTTTACTCAAAGAAGACATATATATATCATATATGACATACAAAGCAACCATCAAAAATAGGAGAGGAATATATTTATTGATAAAGGCCACATTTATTCATAAGACTAAATTAGTCTTATTTACATTTATTCTCAGCACACACCAAACATGCATACACGGAGTACTTGGGCCTTTTCCCTACGTAGGATAGCATTCTAGTAAAATACTAATATATACTACTTATATATATATAGATATATAACAAAACTTTAGTTATTCCTTGGAGATAGCAGGAAAGTTTGGCCTCCCCTGTTGGTCTTGAGTTGCTGGGCCTCATTTGGAGACATTTGATAGGAGTTGGTGAGGACTTGTAGTGGCATGGCCCTGATCACTGAAGTGTAACCAGCAAGAGGGTTCTTCATGGGCAAGCTAGTGGTCTTCATCGCCACATATTCCAACCCATTCCTTCCCGCCTTAAACGTTGCAGCAAAGTACTGAGGAACCACAAACATCTCCCCTTGATTCACCCTATCGTTCATCACTGTCTGCCCGTTGCTTCCCACCACCTGCACTTGTGCATCACCTCGAATCACATAAACAATGTTGTGCCCATTCATCGACCAGTATGGGGTGTGCATTGCACTCTGCAAAATACATGTACATGTAAGTAACAAATTAAATATTGTGTAATCAAAATAGTAGAGATGATGATTCATAGACCTAATAGTCTAACCGAGAAGGGATGGAAATTGCCTTCTCGGTTAGACTATTAGGTCTGAATAAAAGACATAGAAGCTAGGGACACAGTTATATTACAGGGAGAAGGTTGCCTCTCTCGGCGCTCAAGTCGAGGTGGCGAAGGATTGGAAGCTTGTGCTGGTTGACAATGTTGACTCTTCCGGCTTGCCTAGAGTAGACATCGGCTTCTCTCCGGTTGTTCATGTTGTGGTGGAATCTGAAGGAGCAGATAGTTTCTTCTAAACCGTTTGAAGAAGATTGGTCGGTTTCCAGCTCCTCATTTTCATCAGGCCTAATCACACTCATTCCATGTCGGGCATTGACAATGAGACCTCGGTCATCTTCTCTTTGCAGCCTCCTCACCAAGTCTTCGGGGATGTTATAGGCCTCAGCTAGAAGATTTGAATCGAAGGCACGCAATATGTTCTGGAAGTTCTGTCGAGTCTGCTCGCTCTGCTGCCCTCGCTTTGGCACTCCACCAGCCAGGTAAAATGCCTGTACATAGATGGTCACGGTCACGGTCACATATATGTATTTATATAGGCAATTACATGCATGCACACATGAAAAATTATATAATTATTACCAATTCACGCAAACCTGTGTGAGTTTGGAATCTATTTGTACTTGAACTCTTTGAACATGACTCTCGTATCTTAGTTTGAAAAAAAAGGAACATAAGTGACTATTAAATGTATGATTACCCTAAATCTTTGGTCAAGCTGGTTGGCCTGGTTGTTGAGGTCATTGATAGAGACGGCAACAAGCTCTTCGTTGCCATCGTTGAAGCACCAATGGGAGACACCAGCGGGGAGGGCTATGATGTCTCCTTGACGAATGCGGAGCACCTTTTGGTGGAGGTCTCTTCTCCCACTGCTACGTCCCCGTTCTTCTTCTTCCTCCTCTTCTTCACGGCCTCTACCCGCTCGCATCCCCATTGATGGCTCCGAGTGGAAGGTCTCTGCACATCCTGGGATGTTTATGCTCAACAGCCCCTCACCTGTACCATTTCACTCATTCATGTTATTGTACAAATTTTTGGGGAATTAAAAAATATATATAAATAAATAAATGTACTTTTTGGACACGATTTTACAATCACATGGAGTCAAAGGCTCAAAGCCATGAAATTTCAGAAAAAATGAATTCTCTTGAAAATTTCTCTAAAGTTGTGTTGGGCTTTGGGCCTATGGGCCACCGAAAGGCCCAATGAATTCTTGGACTTAGCACATCCCAGTACAATATGTATGGGCCGACAATTTCACCACTTTCATAAAACACACACTACACACACTGTGTGTCTTTACCTTGTTGAATGTACACGAGGCGAGGGGATGGATGGAAGTTGGGCAAAGAGAGTGCATTGGGGCGCAATGTGTTCCTCATGGGAGCAACGCCGGCACACTGGAACTGGTCCTCATACTCGTCCCAAAGTTCGGTGACACCGCCCTCGGACTCGATGCGTTGAGAGGGCTGGCTCCCCGTGAGTCGGTTGAGGCGGCATTGGCGGGCTTGGCTCATTCGTCGGGTCTGTAGTCGTTGCCCATATGCAGCCGAAGCAAGCAGAGACACAAAGATAGCTAGCAATACTATTTTAGTAGCCATGGCCAGCACTCAAATCAGGAGGAGGAGGACGGTAATGGAGATTATTATGTGATGAAATGGGTTGGGCCTCTGAGTCCATTATTTATAGTGGAGGGTGTTTTGGTGGTGTAATGACATGTGGTGGGCCGTGTGGCAATTGAGTCTGCTTCTTTTGCATGAGGATTGTCGTGACGTGAACTAATGCGCGCCACATCTCACTGTGTGTGCATGTATGTGTTGTCCATAGCATCCTCTACGTGGTAGATGTGGGGAGTGTTACCGAACACTTTGCCCATGGATTCTCATCTTTGCACCAACTAAAAAACAAAGTATTGATGAGAGCCAGGCCAGTTTTACTGTTAGCTAACTGGGCTTAGTCAGTGACCGTCTTAAACTGGATATCACTTGATTGGGTTGGGCTTCAGACTAGTTAGATTCGCATTAGTTGTGTCCACTCAAAGGCTTCTTATCAGAACATATATAGGCTTGACGTAATATCCACCAACGCTGATCTGAGTCCACTACTCCATACAGTACAATTGTTACAGTACAATTATATCACAGAACAATACAGCTATATCATAATGCAATATAATTACATTACAAAATGTAACATCTATGCTGCAATTCAAAAAAAAATACTTGTATGCAACATATTTATATCGAAGATCGACACCCATGTGATATAGTTCATGACGTTGCAACGTTTATCACATCCATCAAATAGAAAATTTAACACATTTAAATACTTGTTTCACTATTGATTTAAAGAGTGGACGAAAATGATACCAAAGAGGATCTCTTCTTTTTTAAAATTCTGGTAGCAGTACTATCCGGATCTAATTTTCTTTTGTAGATGAATTAATTGGATATAAAATTTTCAAAAAAGTTATGTTCTTTCTATTTTAGACCGTAATGAAGATTACGATAATCCATACCATCAAAAGATTGCAAACATGGGGTACTCGTTAAAAATTGTGAGCTAAAACATTCCAAAACCTTAATCCCATTGCTTCCTACCAATTATATATATATATATATAGATAGATAAATTGCATTTAGTAAACAACCTCAAAACGTGTTTCAATCGCATTTTGTTGGGTCCTCCGTGTCAATCCAAAAGAAATAATCAACTTAATTTGTAAGCAAGTACAGATAGAATCTACAAGTGGACGAACACAGAGGCGAATCCATTTTCCCTCCACCACACCTACAACTACAAGTTGAGTGGGAAATAGATAAAGACATGAAAGGTGGTATCCTCCGCTTTTCATATCCGTGTGGGGTTTCTTGTAAACTAAACTAAGTCAAGAACCCTCCTCTCAAGGTTCTTGTTTCCACTGAATCTCTCTTTACCTAACTTTTCACGCACCAATTAGCTCACAAAAATGAGTAGACAAGAAAAACAAAAAATTTCATACATCCACAATTAAGAGCTTGCAATCAAATATAATAAGAGCTTGCAATCAATTTTGAGGAGAGGAAAAAAAAAAAAAAAAAGGGGAGAGGAGGAATGGAATGAAATGGAATTTAATTTCTAATATTTCTTTTATAAAATTGTTTCGGTCCCAAAATTGATACTCGAATTTCAGAAGAAAGGATAAGGTATAAAGATATATATATATTCCAGATAATTAAAAAATAAAGATAGCCTAGATACAAAGCTAGCTCCAGTCCAGTCCAAGCCCTAATTGACTGTACATACAATATACAGTATGAAAATGGAAAATAAAGTAGGTCTTCATGGTCATCAACCTTTTGCGTCAAACACGTAGCGTAAAAACCAAGTCCATTGAATTGGACAAAGCAAATGAGTCTAATATAATAAACATTTCATACATCCACAGAGAACCAATCCTCTGCCCATATTATAAACTCATATCCTACCCTCTTCACAGCACTGCTAACTAAACTAAACTAAACTAAACCCACTCCTCTCTCTCTCTCTCTCTCTCTCTCATGTCTTGGCTGAAATTGGGAAAGAAGCTCCTACCTGCTAGAAAGGCGTGGAAGGTCTTCACCACCAAATTACAGACCAAACTGCACAAGCTACATAGATCCAAAGCTATCAAGAAACCCAAGAAACGTCTCGGCAAAACCACCAACAAAGCTGCTTTATGGCATGCCTTTTCTCTTCAACCCCGTTTTAAACGCGAAAAACGTTACCACCACCACCACCATTATCGCGTCCACAACAAACCGGCACCAGTATTTATTGATGAGCTCTTTATAGAGCCTGTCCCAATTGTGAAGGAGTATCTCCAACAACCAACCACAGCTGAAGCAAGCAAGAAGGCCATAGTGCAAACACCACCAAGTGCAAACAAGACTAAGCTCGCCAACCAGCAAGCTGATGTTCCAGGAACAAGCATAAGGGAACCAGAAGGTCATGAAAAGATGCATACAGCTGATGATATGTGGGAATCGTTAGCGTTGGCATCGCCACAAATGCATGAAATAAATGAGAGAGCAGAAGAGTTCATCACCAGATTCCGTGGGGAGATGCAGCTTCAGGAGACGATGGCTCGTCATTTGTAGTAGCTGTTATGTTCTATTAGCTAGGATTTCCTTTTCCTCTGTTTTCTATCAAGTTGAAAGAGTAAAGATAGGAAAATACAATAAAACAGGAAGGTCTGCGATGTATATAAAGTAATTTTAGTATTTATGTTCTTACAACAAAATCAGCTCAGATCTTTTGGTCTGTACACTCCCTGGATGAGATTTACTCAACAGCAACGGTTGGACACAGTCTCACATGCTATGTTTTAGCTTATTGCGGCACTATACTACCCCTAATTACCTACCTAGTTGCCCCATCATATGTTTCAAAAGCCTCTCAAGGTAAAGATTGCCAATTTGCCACGAGAAACTACGCAATAATATTGTTACAAAGCCTCTATATTTGAAAGAAACTACATGACTCTATGATTCCATACGCTCTTCAGCAATCGTAAATCATGGTTGGAAATAAGGCATCACTAACCACGATCGCACAGAACCAATGGCTGTCCAGGAACAGCTCACTGTGAAAGAGCAATATATAGCTCCATAATCAAGAAGCCATGCCATGCTAGCAGGAGGAAAGAAAATGAATCACGGTTATAATACAAGTATCACCAGAATTAGAATCGAGCAATCAGCATCTGTTGCATGGTTCCAAGAAGAGGATATGTCTGCAAGGTTGGTTCAGAACGTACCTTTGTTTTCTCTGAATAAGATGCTGGAAAAGAGCACGTATGGTAATCAATGACATGAATGTGAGGTTCTTGAGGGTTTCTCTGTAATTTCAGGTGAACTTTTTGCTTGCATCTGCAATATCAAACCAAAGATAAGGGCTAAATTACGCCATCCCAAAAGTGACTTCATTTTCTTACAAAGACATGTCCCCAGTAAAAAGATCAACACCCAACATAGACCTGCTGTGTAAAAGTAAAACGAATACGTCACCCAAGTAGTAACAAGGAAACTGGAGAAATGACAATGTAGCAGTTTAATACTACACATAATAAACAACTAAGTAATCAATTCATTAAAGCTGCTATATCAAAAAATATACCCACCCTATTGCTGCTACTGGATTTGTTAATGTTGTTACGAAAGATCCCTTTTACAACTCACGCTAGTAACAGCAGCAGCATCCAACAATATAGATCTATGTTGCAAGGGCTTATAGAGACTTTACTAGAGAGAGAGAGAGAGAGCTCTTAGAGAGTAAGCCAAACCAAAAGAATACAAAAGCATATATTACAGATAACAATGTCAAAGGTTGGCTAATTTTTAATCCCAAAGTGCTGTAGAGTCTAATTCGTCAGTGGAAATAACCACCCCCTCTGAACAACCTGCACCCACCTCGGAAAACATCAAAGGCAAAAAAAGAAAAAAAGAAGGGTTTCAAGTTTCAAATCTTTTAAGAAAAAAATTGCTCGACATTATGACATAAATTGAAACTTGTTGCAAGAAGCAAGTTTATTTGCCATAACTACAACTGCTAAACTATAATGTGCATCAATTTGGATAGTTACAGCAAAAACACACACCAAATATCAACATGTACAACATAACTTTTTGGTCCTTCCCAACCAATAACAAATCAGTCATACTGTGCTACATACATAAAGTGCCACCACTCAGACATTTTTTCTTCAATTTCACAGTGAAATCATATAAAGGTGAGCTTGCACTATTGAGGAACAACTGCCAACACAACTAAATCCAGCTTCCAGTAAAAAGAAACTTGCAAGTTTTGGAATCTGCTGCTGAGCTTAGTTCAAGAAATCCTTCATTGGATCATTGTGATGGACTTTCTTCATCCTATATGCCTCCATCTCCTCCTGAGTAACCTGCAAATGATACAAAAATTGGTAAGGAAAACTGCAAGAAAGAAGCAAAAACAATTGAGTGCTAAGTTAACAATATAATAAAATAAAATTACCTCATCATTCCATCTAACATTGTATTTGCGCTTTCTTTCATCCTTCTCTTCTCTCTTTCTTTCATCCTCCTGTCAAGACCAAACATAAGCGCAAGTCACACCAGAGAAACTAAACCCAAGTCAACTAAATATTTAAATAATCCTCAATCAGTTTTTTATATGAATAATAAGGGCATCATCCTATAATACACCGAGACCGTCAATATCCTTTGCCCCCCTTGAAAGCAGATATGCTGTCATTTTCTCTCTTCAATGTTCTAAGTCATGAAGATCAATGAACAATAAACAAACTGCCCCCACATCCAAAAATAATAATTATTATGATTGTAATTCTTGTGGGACCCTTGAGAGAGAGGGAGAGAGGACATAAGAATGTAACTCAAGTTTACCTTCTTTAATGCTTCAGTAAGTAATTTTTGGTCTAAAACCAAATCATCTGGTATGTCAGTTCCCCAGGTAGCAATCCTCTTCTCCTCGGTCGGTGCAGGTATATCTGCTTTCATTAACATCATGAAATTTGAGTCAAGAAAACACAAAATTTTAACCAATATTGTTATAAAATTTAACAACATTTAAAATATCTTCCACCTTGCTAGTAAAATAGTGTAATTGAGCAATGAACTGAATAGATGCACAAAAATTGAGAATGCCAAAAAACCAAAACATTCACTAAATTGATGATGCCAATAAATCAGAACATACTTCGAAATAGTCAGACAACGAAAGAAGCAACAACATACCCTTAATCCTATCTCTTTCAGCATATCAAGATAGTAATAATACTAACCTTCAGTTGCCTCTTTACGAGCAATATTTGCCCTCATTAGATCTGTTGCAGCATCAGCAGCTTCAATTCCAGCGGCCCCTGTACAGTAACTGTTTCGGATAATCTGCTTACAGCACTTGTAGCCCCATTGATGATCCTTCCACCACGAACCCCACACACTAGTGTGGTTGTTAATGTAAACATCTTCCTCATACTTGCTTTTCGGAAGGGAAGTCTCCTGTAAATGGATTTAGTACCCCAGGTTAAATCTGCTACAGTAACATATAGAAATCAAATGCATATCAACTGACTTTTTACTGTAAGGGTTAGAGAGTTAATTTGTTTCCACCAAAATCATCATCCTGTGTTCACATGGAAGCAATTCCAATAACCAATGGGGGTCGACAAGTTCTAACACAATTTCTTTTCTTTTTTTGATAAGTATATCAAAAAGTTCTAACACAATTTCTTACCCCATCTTACTTTAATGTGCATTTCCATAATCAATATACACACATTTGTTAAAACTTCGATCTAAATTACCGGCTCTAAATTTATGCTAAAATTTTTTAAATGATTGAAAATAGATCAGCTCATTTCAAATCCTTCAATGCAAGATTCCAATGAAGACCTGTTGTTGAGATCAACTTTTTTCCTCCCACCACACAATTCACAGCATATGTCAAGAACCATTAATGCCATATCTCATTAACCATGTGCGCAGCATGAAGTATCACTTTAAAATTAAAACGGTGCAATGAATAACTTAATTTAGCTATTCTAAGCTACAGCCTTGCTACATGCCCATTATAAATTCTGGAAGCGTGAATAAAGATCAATATAGTGACAATGATATCTTCGCATAAAAATGTAAAACAGTAAATAGTGACCCAGGTCCCTCAATATGAAAGAAATGGGTTTCCCAAAATGCCTCTTAAACACACCTTAAGTCTTTAACTGAGCAACAGCTTTCCTAATATTCTATATGTTCCAAAAATTAATGAACGCATTGGAACTATCACAAAGATAGCCAAACAAAGCAAATTCATATTTTTAGCAAACACAGTCACCTTTTTGTGGGATCACTGAAATGTACATGATTTCCTAGTTGTCCAACTAGATAGGAGCATAGAAAATACTTTTTATTTTTGATAAACAAACATTTATACACACCATATAATTGTTGATATATACTACATGCTCACACATACACTTATAAATATCTATGTTGTATTTGATATATATCATCCAACTACCGTGGTGTAACAAATGTGGTATCGACAAAGTCAATATTTCAATTTACATTTATACATTATACTTGCATAAAAGCACACTTAAATATATTTTGACTGTATTGGATATATATCATCCTATTATTATGTTGCATTATTGTGACTGTATTGGATATATATCATCCTATTATTATGTTGCATTATTGTGACAGCATCTATCGTAATCTTCTTTGTTATGTTGAATCATTGCAGATGATGTATCTATCTATTATATGGTACATTGTGTTTATGTCACTTCTGTTGTTTTTGTATCTTTGTTTCTCATATAAACTTTATTGTAGTAGCATATTGTTGCTTCTAGCCTCATACTGAAACTAGATGTTTATACAGTAATTCAAGCCGGCCGCTATTGAACTATGATCACTGATTAAAAGAGGTTGTAGCATGAGGAACCAGTTATTTCCTTTAGGCTTTGCTTGGTTTTGAAGAACCCAATTTTGGTAATAAAAGTGTAAGTGAATGAAGAGAACAAATTTTATGTCATGTATAAGTTCGAGCTTAGAATAAATATTTAACCAAAAAGTTCTAGAATAATACCATTCTATGATTTTATTTTACTTTATTAAAAAAAAAAGAAGTTTACAAGAAATACCACATTCCCATGTTTTTTGCAGGAAAGTTGTGAAGAAAATTAAGCAGCTATGGAAATCTTAATTTTTGAAATTTTATCCCTTTCTTGCTAACCAAACTTTAATAAAGTCCAATTTTTTTTTTTTTTTTTTTTCCCATCTCATGCCCTTTCTACAATTTTCTGTCTCAGTAATTTAAGTGCTGAAGTCTTAGCCGCAACCTGGGCCTGTGGTGGGACACAATCTTGATTCCTCATAAAAAGTTTTGCATTGTTCAAACTTCAAATCATTATCTAAATCATGCTCAGTGTCCTACTAATTATTTTCTTTTTTCTTTTCATTTGGCATTCCTAAATCCTAATACAAAGCTCAAAACTATAGATTAAAAGAACAAGAAAGAAGAAGAAACTACAGAATTCTCAAAAATTATGATGAGTACACAAAAGAGAGAAAACAAGTGTAGACAGATCCAAAACTTACCTGGCCCTTGATAATCCTACCGGCACGATCATATTCAACCTCCTTTTCACTTTGTCCAAGCAGAAGTTCTTTAGGAAGCTGTTCTTCGGCAGCTGCATTCCCATATTTCTCCATTATGGTTTCCTTCACCTGCCCCTTCAATGTCTCCTTGTTGACTTTATAGTTCTTGTAAAGTAATTCAGCTTGGGAGGGTGCTGCTTGCATGTGCATATCATGTCCCTTATCAAAGGCTTCCCAAGCATGGATATTGAGTTGTTTGAATTCTAGTGCTTGACCGCTTAATCTATTTTGATTATCACCCTGTAATGTAAAGTGAGCGCAATTTACAAGATAATAATTATGCAAAACCAAATAATACAATGTCAAAAAGTTTGAAGATACTCACAGCATAGAACTTCTCATTCGGATCCATGTCTGGAAGAGGATCCTCACGCATAGACCTGGTCTTCGGATCATAATGGGCAGAATTGACGTCAAGATTTAGCAAATATTTTGCTGTGTCCTCCCGAATTCGCAGGTTCCTGATATTTTATTTAATTCAAAAAATACATTAATAGTGGCAAGTATGAAAGCTAAAAAAGCTTTCTCAAAACAGAGACCAACAAGCACGCACAAATGAACACTAATAAGTTCCGTAATCCAGAAGAGAAAAAAATAAATAAATAGAGGCATAAGATAATATGAAAAGTAGGCATTAGATAACTATATATGTAAAAAACTCACCTAACAGTCCCTGTACTCCCACCGCCTGTAGTACGAACACGCTTCTCAACCTTCGCAAAATCCATTTGTTTGCTCTCATCAACCTTGGCTTCATCAACCTTTAGAGCATCTTCATTGTCTTCATCATCACTAACTCCATCCTCACCACTTTGCTGGTTGTTTTTCTCCTCTAATTTTTTTAACTGTTGCTCTTTCAAATACTTCTTCCTAGCTTCGTCCCTAGCTTCGTACCTCTCAATGACATAAGCATAGCTCGCCGCATCATAACCATTCCATCGGTCACGTTTGCCATCATAATCCAACTCAAACGTCTCGATTTTCTCATCTGGTGCAATATTTTTGTCTGTCCACTTGGCGCCCACTTTCCGGGGCCTTTCCATACAAGCCTTAGCCGTATGTGTCATAGCTCCACAGCTACAGAAAAGCACATAAGATGCTCATAAGTACTGAGCTAAACTTTTCTGATTTTATAAAAATATAAGAAAAATAAAAGAACTGTGTTGTTCACATTGCCACAATTAGATTTCTTCTACCATTTTCCATAATAAGCCAGGTTGCCACAGTTAGCTGCGCTACCCCCCACCCACCAAAAAGTAATAATAAAAAGTGGCATGCTCCACAATTTAATATTCAAATATGCCATTTACTAAAGTACATATCATGAATTTAGAACATGCATAATAAATGCAGACCTCAACATGCCAACTATACACTAAAAAGTGTCTAATATGATAGTGCAGAAAGAAAGATACACGGAGGGGGGAGAGAGAGAGAGAAAGCTAACTCACTACCTCAACCACATTTCCCAAAAGTATTGGGAATAAGTGATAACATGGCAAATACCAGACTATACATGGGGCCACTGAGTATTGAGTTCCAATAGATCAGACTTTATTTTTCCTAATAAATACATTTCTAGTTAACCAGGTACCTTTTCCCCAATTTTCTATCAAGTGCAGAGAAAATATTATTGTGCAAGTTGAGATAACAAAAAATTAGCTAAAAACAAATACCATATTTTGCAGGACGAGACAAGTTTCATAATTATCATAAAGGTGGCATGTCACATTATTTTAGTCATTTATTGTACAACATGAGATACTAGAACACCCACGTGCAATACAATCACGGTAAATTTTCTTTTTCCTGAAATTTTCCCCATCTCTAAGGAAACATATATCCAGTGTAGTCCTTTTGTTTAATTTTACTTACTATTAGAAATACTACTTTTTTTATGTTGGGCCACTTTGTAGTACTCGAGACAAGACTACACTGAGCCATTCCATGATTTACATCTTACTAAGATTGAACTCCATAATAAAGAACAAAAATAACTCAAATATAGAGAGAATAAGATATATTTTCACTTACTTTTCGCATGCACCCTTTCTGAACTTCTCAGCCTGAAAGATTTTTGCCCCTCGGTCGTACCATGATTTTGTATAGTTGGGATCTGACTTCCATTTCCTTTGATGTTTCAAGCTCTAACAAACACAAAAATAACCAAAAAGTTCAATTTCTAGCTCTTGTAAACAACTGGATATGTGCTCAAACAGTGAAAAGTAGACATACCGGTCTCTCTGCATTGAGATACCAAGGTGCTGATGACATATACTGAGGAATATGAGGATTGATTTCTTTTCCATCCTCATCAACCTCAGCTGGAGCAAGGCCAGCCTTCCGTGCTTCTTCCAACTCCAGCTGTTTCCGGTGGTCCTCCCTGGATTTGAATGCCACTGCAACCCCCACAATCCGACATACGTAAATAATTTAAAATTTTAAAAGGATAGACAATGATGTGCATTGAAGCAGCCACAAAAAATGTCATGATTAACAAAAATTAAAAAAAATATAGTCAAACAGAAGAAATAATGGAAGGTAATAATTGTATCACAAACATAATGGAAGGTAATCATTTTCCGTCATCATAATAATAGCAACAAACCTAGATACTCATTTACCAAACAAAACTCAGTAAACCAATGAAGTTGAATATTAAGGATCATTTAGTTTCTCAGAAATAACAAAGGCAAAGGGAAAATAAATTTGCATAGAAGTAGATTTGTTTTCTCAGGCATTTCAACTTGAAATAAAATACATAGAAATGGCTTTTTATCAACCATTTTCAATTGGAGTTCCTCATCTTTCTAAGAAACAAACACAGGGCAAGTACAATGTAACCAAAAATCAAAATCCCACATGTGGCTATAAAAAGCTCATTCTATGAGGATAAATACAGCATGCTCATTCAGGGTAAGAATGAGAGTGAAACAGAATTGGAAAACCTAAATTTAAAAAACAATAAAAAGAAACAACTACTATAATATAAATTTCTGTGCGCATTTTAGTATCTATATAAATATAAAAAGGCCCAACAAACACAAATTTCTTTTTCCAAAAATTCAAAGCAAAATAGAAGTTTAGATAATCATCAAAGGAAATATGAATGTATATAGGTTGCACTGGTTGATCTCTATCATACTAATATAATCAACTCTAATGAGAAAAGACTCAATAAACACAAATTTCTTATCTTAATTTCAAAGATTGAAACCAAAACAGAAGCATAAATAATCATAAAAGGAAATTGGAAAGTACAAGGAGTTCACTGGTTGATTTCCATCATAGGCGATGTAATCAACACTAACAATAAGAAGGATTCACAATTATAAATGAAAAAAACTACAGTACCGCAGTGTTGATCCCAAAAGGCCCTAAAATCACCAAAACAAAGACAAAGAAAGATCTAATCCAAAGGGTAGTTAAAAGAGATGTTTACAAATTTCCCCAATTCGAATCAATTCGAAGAAAACTTTTCCGGAAAGTATATAACTTTCCGTCCTATCAAACAAGCCTGAATAACCAAAGCGTGTCTCGAATTCATCACTTTTCATGTCATCAAAATTAGAAGAAAAATAAATCGAAATGAAGAAAAATCATAGAAAAAGTTATTCATAGAACAAAAAAAAAAAGGTGAACTAGAAATACCTGAAGCAGTCGCCATGTTTAACCCTGAATGTAAAGGAACCCAGATAAAGAAGAAGAGAAACCTAGAGAGAGAGACGAAGACGGGGAGAGATGGTATATTGTTTTATGAACGATGGATTGAAGATAAACGATGGATTGATGGATTGAAACTTGTTTCTGGACAAGGATTCAAGGTAAGGACAACCGACATAGCCCACTGGGCCACTCCAATGTGATTGGGGTTCCTATTTTGGCCACGGTCCGAATGATGTATTTCCTAAACCCCATGCTCATAAATATGTCGTTTTATTGGGCCACCGACTTTTTAATGGGGTTAAGTTAAATGGACCGACTTAGAGCGTAAATTGGACTGGATTGCAGTGTCCAATTTTTTTAGTCCCGTAAAGAGTTCACACTTCAGTGTACATATTCAGAATTTCGGATCCTAATACGTGTTCAAATTACGTGTTCAGCGTTCAATTAATGACAAAAAAATCTGGATTTCAGTGTACATATTCAATTAATAACAATTTAATGACAGTCTACACCTCCCAGCCCAATGCATCCACGGACATAGAAAATTATGTCAGTGGCACAAACTTATATAACTAAGGTTTTTCTGTAATTTTAGTGGGAATAATTTTAAAATTGTATGAATATATAATACAAAAAATAAAAATTCAGGAGTATATAATATAAAAATAAAAAAAAATCAGTAAGGGATACTCCCATCAAGCCGACGGTAAATTCATCACTGTGCATTTATGTCCTTTTTTTTTTTTATTCTTTTTTAACAAGAAATTCATACACCCATTTGTCCACATAAAGAATTAAATCCTCATTATTCACTTTGATCGGAAGAAAAGAAAGAAATACCATTAAATTACAAGTCTACAACGCCTTTGATTTGATGAATCCGCGTCACACATAAGCAATTACAGAATGTGTATATATAATATGAAATCACATCCGGCTTTAAAAAGGAATCTCGTCATATAATGCTGAAAATCCATGTAGACAGCTCTTTTTTTGGGACAGCTTTATGGAGTGATAACATCTATCTCTATCTCTCTCACATAATATTCACTAAGCAGTATTAGTATGGATGAAGCTATTATCACATTGAGGAAAAGAGGAGAGATGCATCCGATGCAATCTTTTCTTTTATTAGCATGACAACTCAGGATTGTTGAATAAAAAGGAACGTTGATAGCTCCAAATCTAATATTAAATCCCAATGAAATCCAATGCTTACTAAAGGTGCTTTTTTAGTAGACCCCATAAAGTTAAATTTAAATACACAGAGGAAGAGATTTATGTGGTGTTCATAAATTTTACTTTGAATCAGTCTCAAAATCTATAGAAAGGGGAGGGGTGGTAGAAAATTTTGTAATAATTGTTCCATGTAACTAGATTAAATCTGAATGATAATTGGGATATGGATTGAATAATTGATCGTTAATGATTCAAAATTGTTAAAATATTAAATTAATATATTAGATATGGATTACAGTCAGTGATATGCATAAAGACATAATTTATACGGAGTAATGTGTTATACATATATTATTTGTTATTCAATAGTTATAAAGTTGATAAATATATATATATATAAATCAAAAATATTGATTACATTGTGTTTTAACATGTATGGTACTGAAAATTTTAATTCTTCTCGTATTGCTTTTCTTTCCTTTCTTTTTTTCCTTTTTTCCTTTTTTTTTTTCCCCCTTTTTTATTTTATTTTATATAATATAAATGTGTTGGATATAGATTCATTGACACATAAATCATCAAAATATCAAATGAGATCACAAATATTTTTATTCGAATCCTATCTGATCCTCTATCGGGTTTAGATGTGAAAGTGAAACCTAGAGTGAATGCAAGTATATACATGCACAAAGTTATATAAATGCGTGGCTTAAAATTCTTCTTTATTTGCCACTTGTGCTCTGGTGTCCAATTGCATTCTTTAATGGATTGGCAAGCAAAATAATCACCATCATACTAGTCTAATTAATAATTATGCTTCATGAGTACTCATTGAATAAAATGAATGCCACGTTCTCTTTTTGTTACACGGAGGAACCAATTAACAAAGATTTTTCTGCATCCCAACTTTTTAACGGTCAAAATCCGGAGACAAATAAATCAAACCTCGCTCTTTAGCAGAAGCTTAAATATTAAGAAAAAAGAGTTACATTGACATGATCGTTGCATCCTTAATTAAAAATCTGGTAATTCTGGTAATTCCCCAGCTCTTGTGAAAAGGTTGTACCAAAAGTCCATGCCATCATGAACGCTTGAATTGTAGTCGTACACATATTCCATGGCATGAAACGGTGACAAAGGAAATTGAAGTTGTTCCTCCGCCGTGACTGCAGGAAAATCGCTGGTGCTGCCGGAATTTTCAGCAGAGAGCACCTCCGACCAGAAATTTTCATCAACTTGAGGGAAATTGTCTAGGACTTCCGCATCGGCCTCCATGCACACGTTATTGGTGATGACAGAGGAGATTTCGCTCAGCGAATGTTGAGGGGAATCCGGTTGGAGATCCGGTGTCTCTTGATTCGGATGATTAATCAAGGGTTTTGCTTCATTGATGGAGTGTAATTTGGAGTTGGAAGAGGAGTGAATTTTTTTGAGTCTCTTTTTCAAGTTGGTGTGCCACACATTTTTTATTTCATTGTCTGTACGTCCCGGCAGTCTTGCTGCAATGGCTGACCATCTGAAAGATTAAGCAAAAGGAAAAACAAATTGCATTAGCTCTCAAGTACTGTTGATTTTGTTTTGTGGTATTTTAAAAATGATGCACAACTTGGTTCTATTGTTTGAATTGGCACATGAACAAGTACCATACTAGTCATACTTGTTTTCCTTACTGGTGAGTCAATTTTGTGTGCGTGTCGTGTGTGAACTGGAAGGTCTGACTGTACATCTCCATCAAATGTGAATAAGATTAGTCAATGTGAACCAATCAAGCTTCCTGGAAACTGACTGATGATCATATTTTACACGCAAAATAATTGTTAATTCTCCATGTTTGCATTTTACCTGTTTCCTAATTTTTCATGCAAATTGATAATGGCGTCCTCTTCTTCTTTGCTGAAGTTCCCCCGTTTAATGTCAGGTCGCAAGTAATTCGTCCACCGGAGCCTACAACTCTTTCCACACCTTAACAAACCTGAGCAAAGATAGGGAAAAAAAAAAAAAAAAACATATTAACACTATATATATATATATGTAAATATTCAAAAGATATAATGCTTATATTCATGAAAGATAACAGAAGTTCAATTATGTGAAATTTCAAAAACCCAAAACTACAAGTTTGATTATAAGTCCAAAACACATTAATGAGCACGTAAGTGACAAATACCTCTAAAAGTTTACAAATGCTATTTTCTTTTGCCTTTTGGGTTACATTAATGAACACACACATGACCAAATATACAATCAAATACTTGATTAATTTGTATGTAGAGAGAGCAAAATTTTAAATACATTAGAGTTTCACAATAATTACATACCGGCATGTTTAGGAAGTGCCCTCCAATTGGTGTGGCCATATTGATTAATGTAATTGATCAATATGTGGTCTTCTTCGCGTGTCCATGGACCTTTCTTCAGTCCCATCTTCTCGCAGCATGGAGCTCTTACCATCTTAAATTAATTGATTCTCAGGTAGATATATATATATATATATATATATAGACACACTACTTGTATTGAATCTTCAGTACCCTGTGTGTTGAGAGACTCAGAGCTCAAAATGATGTGTGAGTTATTTATCCAAAGAGACTCCGCCAAGTAAACTGTGCTTGCAGCATATATGCGTATATATATATATATATGTATATGTATATGTATATGTATATGTATGTATAGTCTAAGATTAGAATTTCAAAGGCATGCACCGCCTCTGGCGCGACATAGAGTGTCCACTGTATAATTGTTTAAGTTGAGAGTCAAATAAAACGTGCAATATGATATGATGTGAACAGATCGAAAAGGCACCCACATGAATAATGTGTACAGTGTTCAAGGATTAATTTTGGGAAAAACTCAAAATCACTACTCTCACTGATAAATGCTTTTCTTTGAAGAAAAGTAAAATTTTATCGAGTTAGGATCCTGGTCAACGTATTGTACGGTGTTGATCGACTATGATTGGTTTAGATAAAGTTGTGTAAACTTCAAGGCTATGTTTGGATTGAGAGATTTGGAGGGATAATGAGAAAAAAGAAAATAAATAATAGAGAGGGATAGCTATCCCTCCCTATTTCTCTTTTTCTATCTCTCCAAAAATAAGAAGATATGGAGAGAAATGATAGTGTTTAAGTAATATTTTAAGAATTTCGAAATTACCCTTAATAATTAAAAGGAAGAAATTATTATTCCACTCATATCTCATCTATTTTAAAGGGTATGATAGTAATTTTATTGTTATCATTTCTCTTCTTTTCTACTCTCTATCATATCCAAACAAGAATATTATACTTTCTTTTCTATTTATCCAAACATAAATAGAAATTATTGCTATCATTTCATTTCATTTATTTTCTCTTATAACAAATATTATCATTTTTTTTCTTTTCTCTCCTACTTATCCAAACGCACCCTAATCGCTTTCTACGGTAACATTTCAAATAATTACAGTATAGAAAAACAGAAGATCCAAACTCAATTTTATTTTTTACCCAAAAAAAAAAAAAAATAACACTTCTATTTAATAAATTTCATGAAAGTTTTGGTTAAGGGGAAATTAAAATTTTAAAATAAAAAAGGAAAAAGCCTTTCAATAAACAAAGGACACATGCACCTCGAATCCATTCCGTGACACAAAATCCATTTTAGCAAAAGAATCATTTGATTATGCCTTTTGGGCTTCACACATCCAGAGGTAAAGTAAAACAAATTAAACATATTTATAATCTGCCACTTCCAAGATAAGAAACAACGATACATTGAGGATTTTGTAAAAAATACTATTATAAACATACAAACAAATACCCGTGAATTACAAAAAATATATTTACATGTCCCGATGAATAAAATTTAACCCTCTAAATTATTAATAACTTGTAATAAGAGATTCTAACGGTTGTTAAGTGTCAAATTTAAATTTATACGAAAACCTCTAAACTTTAAGAAATGTGCACGTTATCTCTGGAATATGAGGCAATATACAAATTTTTTATACTTCTAGGCAGTTTTATAAAATAAATTCAAAAGAATAAATTCCCATTTTTAATGTGTTCCAATGCTTTGACAGTTTACTTTCTAACAATAACTTGAAAAAAGGGAATGTATTGCAAAAATTTTAATAATCATTTGCAATTTTGTTTTCCTATAGTTTGAAGGGTTTTTTGCTACCTTAAAATAAGGAAAGCCACAATTTTGTCAAAAATGAGGTCAATATATATATATATATATATATATATATATATATATATATATATAAATTTGACCTCATCAAGCTAAACTTCTATATTTTTCTCTCTTCAACTTTAATATATATATATATATATATATATATATATATATATCTTGACGAGGTCAAATTGATCACCAAACAGTTCAAGTTTAACTTTTCTTCTGCTAAAAATAAAAATTTTACAAATTTTTCATACTGGGGTGATGGTTCTTTTCCCATTTTATATAAAAGTACCTAAATGAATGCTTGGATGCTTGTGATCTAAGTCACATAAAGCGGTATGGTCAAAGTCTAAAAAATTTGAAGGAGAGCGCGTCCATATATTTACTTATATATATTTATTCAATTAAAAAATTATAATTATAATTTATTAAATATTTTTTAATTAATTTTTAAATATTAAATAATATATTTATAATTATTTTTATTATGTAGTTATATATTTTAACTCTGGTTATTACTCCCTCCTTCCATATTAGTCCTCCTTTTTTATTATTAGGACTTTTTAAGGAACATGAAATTAATTAATTGTTCAAATTTTTTCCTCTTTAAAATTACCAAGTTGTTATTTTAAATTTAAATGTGTTCAATCAATTATGCATTCAGTATACAAATATGCTTGTGTATAACAATCGCCATACTATTCAAGGATTGTAAATCTGAATTACTAAAAAATTTGAGTTCGCGAATTTAGGACGAATTTGCTCCCAATTAGCCGCAGAGCGTGAGAGCGGCACGGCTACTTTTTAACGAATTATGTGACTTTGTAACGAATTATGTGACTTTGTGATTGGTTCATTCTTTTGATGAGAGATTATTAAAGAGAAAATCACATTTAACCATATCACTTGTGAATTAGAACTTGGAGAAAAATTTCTTCGAGTATAGCGAATAATTTAAAGCTTAAATTTTTTTCTTCACATAGAGTGGTTAATTAAACTGAAAAAAATTAAAAACCTGTATCCGTGTTTTATATATCGACTAATATTATAAATGGCGATACACGCCATCGCACACGAGCTAGGGCGTCTACATTTGTTGAAGTATTCGTCATTTTTGGTTTTGAAATTTAGCTCACCGTAAATGGTGTGAAGGACAAGGTGGTCAAAGAAAGTGGCTAGTGGCTCTTGTGGTTGTGGTACAAAATTGTTGCCGTAAGACTTGGCTGCTGCTGGGTCTGATGTGGCGTGTTTTAATTGATTAATCAAACATGAGGTGTATATTAGCTGGCACTTGATGTAGTCGACTGAGAGGGAATGTCATATATGCTAAAGAAATATATATTCTACACGTTCCGGTTCCTTTTCCCAATTTTTTGTCTCCTTTGAAAAATAAAAAAATGTTATTGTTTTATTATATTGATATTTAAAAACTTTTTTACTACAAAAAAAATATATAAACATTTGAACTTGTAATTTTGAAATTTTAAAAGCTCATTGCAAAGAAAGTGTAGGGGATTAAGTTCTCAGCCACTTGGCGTATCCAACGTTATCAGAGCCTACTCGAGTCAAGTACTTTGGCAAATTAAAGGACAAAAAATTCACGAGCCTCGATTGAGACACTAATAATCATATTAACCTTCAAAGGGATTGTATTTAATATAATAGTACCTATTCTCAGAACGAAAGGACTGGAACACCCCCTATTGTATTTAATAGAGCCATCGTGATTACCCTAATAGAAGTCTCGAGAAACTTCCCCACTCGTGTAAGGAACTGGGCCTATAAATAAGGGCCGAGGGCACCCGAGCCCAAAGAGACTCTATTGTACTTTGTACTTAGATATCTTCCCTTTTATTGAATAATATTGATTTTCATTAAAGAACTCACGTAGAAAGTAAATATCATTAGGTCTTCAAGTTGTGTTCATGTAAATATTAATAAATATAGAATAAATTTTCAAAATTTATATGAACCGTTGAGACTTTAAAAACTGTCTGAAGTTCAAATAGTGGAAGATGATACGATGTTTTACAATGCAATTTCGACGAGTTTATTTTGATTCGAAAAGACTTGCTCTTAAATGAAATTTTCACCTCTAGTCTTTTCATTTTCTTGTCTTTTAGTATTATTATAAGAATATTGAATTTTATAAAACTTATTTTTGGTGGTCGAAACTAAATTAATTAATTAATTGATTGATTTTGCTAGTTTCTTAAATTAGTAAGCAAATTAGACTCTGTCTCTTGTTTCTTTTATCACTATTAATTTGCACAACGTTTTGTTTGTTATGTAAAGAATTTCAAATAATGTAGGTGGAATCATTTAATTTTTGAATTCACACCATCATATGTCCTATTCCTTATTGCCAAATTCCCCTGTATCATCACTAATTATTATGAGTGAAAATCGTAGGCTCGACTTTCTTTTTTTTCTTTTTTTTTTTTTTCCTTCCAGTCAACATAGGATCTTACTCGAGACCAAAAAAACAGTAAAAATAAAGAGTTAGTCCAATCCAAATCAAATAAATAAATAAATTAAGGCAGACTAAAGTATTATAAACCTTAATGATTATAGTGATGAGGTAGGTCACTAATTAGGTAAAAAGTGGCCACGGTTCTCCGCATCCAATATGGTAAGAAATAGCGGATCATACAATCGAATGAATTATATGAGATTTACACAGTTAGAGTAAGGTTTTTTTATTGGTAAATCTGTTGGAGTAAGTTCACTTCATTAAAATTCCAAAATTTGATACCATATTTATACATGTTATAGTTTCTAAACTCACAGACAAATTTAAGAATATATATATATATATATATATATAGGGCATACCCCTTTCTGAGTGTAAATTATATATATGTATATATATAAGTTTGCATGTGCTGTTTGGTAAATTTTTATTTATTTTTCCAAGTGAAATGCATTAAGACCTACTTAAGACTAATTGAGCACACGTCACACCATATCCAAGTTGTTGACTTATACGGCCAGCAGAGTGTGGTTCACTTTTTTAATGGTCAAAGTTTTGAAAGGTCGATATATTATTATTGAAGCTCTTGAAGTGTAGTGGAACACTACTTTTGACATTTTAAAGTTAGTCAATATATATACTCCGTAGTGTTAAATCTCAGACCTACCGACATACATTCACATGGGATATGTACCCTCAAAGTAAATGGTGGTTTCCTTTTTACTAAAAGGAGATAAGAGAAGATATCACTCGTGCGCGTAATTAGGACTTGGGAGAGTTTTGCTTTTTAAGTGCTCTTTTAAACACTAATGATATGCATGAAAGTCAAGAGCGCACTTAAGGTAGGTTGATTATTAATTGTTAAATAAGGTGGATCTCAAACAAACCCTAGGTGGAAATGGAATCCGTCTATCTAGGTCACATTTCATTTGGAGTCAAATTAGTCA